CGAGTAAGTAAAAAGGGTACAGAGATTCGTTAAATAAAAACAGTTACAATAGCACATTGAAAGAATAGACACGTTAAAATACATTAAGTATAATTTATAATAAATAGTGATTGACAGACGTATCCAAATTTTATTATTGAGTAGGGGCGCAGCTCCACAAGATCCTCATACTTTTTGAAATACTATGACATTCTTTTAAGCTCAGAGAGAAGCTTATTATGGATTTTTATGTGCCACATGTTAAAAATTTAAATGCGCTGCATGATGTGTTCAAGAACTGATTTGAGGATATTCTGATCTTGTAAATACCACCTTGGCTGAGGCAAATGTGGTATTGCAAGTCGGACTACTCAAGCTTAGTACTACTGTTATAAATATCTTTATTCTTACTTTTTCCGCAGTGAAAAGTTGCATCGTTAGATCTAAACTTCACACTTCTAGGCAAGCTTTAGGAATATGGTAGAATTGTAACAAGGAAAATTTTCAAAGTAGTCTATGAACAGGAGTGGGAACCACTGATATAGAAGAATGTGGTAAGCAATGGCGTTTTTCATGTTAGTAGTGAAAAAAAGTTATTTCTTATTATCTTCCTAAATGGCGGCTGTCAAAGTTGAACGTCATTGTAGAGTGACTTAACTATAACTCAACAACTAATAATGAAAATCGTAAAGTATGCCTCATCAAGACCGTTTGATCAACAGCAATTTAAGAATCAAGAGATTCGGTAGATATATATTAGCGCAATCGAAGGAGGACTACACATACTATCACAAAGTGAAAACTGATCATTTTGTTTATGAAAGAAGCTCTTACCACCTGCTGCGAGTATAAAATAATAGCAATCATACTATTTATTGACTTCCAAAAAGCTTACGACACGATCAGTATTTCATACAATAAAATATTTTGGTATACCTGGAAAACTCATAAACCTCACAAGAATGACGATAAGACAAACAAGAAGTATGGGCAAAATAAGAGGAGAATTGACAGAAGAGTTTGAGATTAATACAGGACTCAGGCAGGGGACCCATTATCTACACTTTTATTTAATATCCTCCTCGAAGGAGCATATATACAGGGTGTTCCTTAATGATATGCGAATATTTAAGGGTGTTAATCTACATGAAAAATTAATATTAGTTTGCTTCATAAACTATGGTCCAAAAATGTTTCCTTACAAAAACTCGGGGTGTTGTAGTTTTAGAAAAAAAAATGGAATTTAACTAATATTTTCAGAACCGCTTCAGATATTTCACTGATATTTAGTATGTAGTGGAGGTTAAGAAAACTGCATATTTTTCAATGCAAAAATAATTCTTAGCTTTAACAGTGGCGTGCGTACGGGTATTGACTTCGATATTTTTTAAGAAAGAAATAGTACTCCAATGGTTTTTGCTAAACAAAAATTATTTTTGAATTGCCCGTTTAATTAAAACAAATGATCTCTCTTGGATTGTTTTTCTTCGATGCGCCATTTTTGAGTAAAAAAATAAAAACTGTTCTATTGTCGGAGAAAATTAATATAGTAATCGAAGAATGCAATTTAGCATTAAATATCTACTCGTAGTTGCTCTGGAATATGTCACTGGCTTTTTACATCTGACAAGTCTCTGTTATTCAAATCTGTTCGCTGTGACATCTTTTTTATTATTTAGTTTTTACAATCTTGTTAATAATGGTGAATTATTCAAATGCAGAAATGACGGAAATGCATTACGTATATGGCCTTGCCGACGGAAGCAAGCCAGACGGATTTATCACCAGAGATATCCCGATCGTGCTTTGTCAGAAAGTCAAACCTTTTCTAATATTCATCGTCGTCTTGTTGAAACTGGTTCTGTCCGAAAAGGAACATCTGAAGGCAGACCTCTAAGTGTGAGAACACCTGAAATTGAGGAAGCAGTGCTGCACGAGTCGAAGAACATCCTGAAACGAGTACGAGGAAGATCGCTAGACACTTAAATATTTGCCATCAAATTGTTTGGAGAATTTTAGTGGATTTTTTGTTATATCCTTACCATATTTTAATAGTACAATCATTACTTCCCATTGATTTTCCAAGGTGTGAGACCTTTTGTCAGTGGTATCTTCAAAAAATTACACAAAAACCACAAGTTGAATCAATGACTCTGTTCACGGACGAAGCTAATCTTTCACGAAATACCATTGAGAATTTCTACAATAATCATTTGTGGGCAGAAGAAATTCCCGATGCCGTAACCGAAACCCATTTCCAACACCAATTTTCGGTTAACGTATGGGCAGGAATTATTGGCAACCACTTTATTGGCCCATTCTTCTTTCCGGGACGAATTACCTCAATTTTCTTCAACAACAGTTGCCTTTGCTGCTTGGTGATGCTCCGTTAGTAATAAGAAACAATATGTGGTACATGCATGATGGTGTACCAGCGCATTTCAGTGTAGCGGTTCGTAATTATTTACAAACTGTTTATCCAAGTCGTTGGATTGGCCGCGGTGAGCCCCAAGAATGGCCACCAAGGTCCCCAGACCTCAACAGTTTAGATTTATTTTTGCGGGGCAATCTTATGACACTAGTGCACACAAGTTCCATTAACACTGAAGAGGAATTAAGAGAAAGAATAGTTACCTCTTGTGATAGAATAAAAAACACTCCAGGGATATTTCAACGAATGCGCAGTTCCATGAGAAGGAGGGCGGAAGCATGCATACTAAGTGAAGGGGGCCATTTTGAACAATTTTTGTAATCATTTCGTTGGTTTTAATGTTATGTTTATGTTGTCAGTTGTTGTTGTTGTAATGAGTTTAATTTTTCCAATTAAATTAATAATAATTTTGCAAGTTAGACAATAGAACGGTTTTTATTTTTTTACTCAAAAATAGCGCATCGAAAGAAAACAATTCAAGACAGACCATTTGTTTCAAATTGAACTAGGAATTCAAAAATAATTTTTATTTTGCAAAAAAACAGTGGCGTACCATTTTTTTCTTAAAAAATATCGAAGTCAATACCCGTACACACGCCACTATTAAAGCTATGAATCATTTTTATATTGAAAAATATGCAACTTTGTTAACTTTCACTACGTACTAAATATCAGTGAAATATCGAAAGCGATTCTGAAAATATTAATCAATTTCCATTTTTTTCCTAAAACTTCAACATCCCGAGTTTCTGTAAGGAAACATTTTTGGACCATAGTTTATAGAGCAAACTAACATTAATATTTCACGTAGATTCACACCCTTGAATATTCTCATATCATTAAGGAATACCCTGTATATATGACTCATCAAACTTCTTTTAGAAGATATCGTCCGAATGAAATATAAGCATTTCATTTAAAAATAACTTATGCATTTTTTGTGTCCGTCAAAATGACCACTGTTGCAACTCCTATTTTTAATTTTTATTTTTTTTTGTAAATACGGAGAGTTCTCACCAAGCATGACCAGACGCGTTACCGCATTTTTGCAGCGCCAAAAAACTCGTCGAATTGGGGCATTGTCCAGAATAATTATTCATAAATCCGCGAGGGGTGGAAATTACAACTGTCCAGTTTTAATAGTTTGTCAGATGAGTTTCGTGTTCAATTCGACACAGCACCTATTTGCATATTTTTTGTATTTGCGCCACGACGCAGGCAAGTTACAAGAGTTGCCCTGATGACATATGGTGATTCAGAGAACAGAGGAAATGTTTCTAGGGCATGTAGCTGATGAAAGCTTAACGCAAAAAGTTCTTATAAAGATAAGTCCTTAAGTCCTCCCCTACCGAAATACTTTGGTTGAAGCAATAATTTCCAGATCGAATAAAAATTATTTCTTCGGAGTGTGTTGAAATATTGATCAAGTTCAGCCAACGTATAGCGGTCCAGCGGTGCAGCGCTTTTCTGCTGAATGGTACTAGCCATGGAATTGCTTTGTCAATTTTACAGCAGACTTTTCTTGGCTGTCAGATTTGATAGCTTGTTGATTAAATAATGATACTGATAATAAACTTATCGGTTTGGTGAGTCATACTAAAACTACTGGCATCACTTTTATACTTCCATCTCCATCACACATGCATGCTATCTGCAACTGTACGCGAACGTTAGTTTGTGTAAGCTCACAAATACATTCTTTAGCTTAGTCCCGCCGGCGCCGCCTCGAAAATTTTCTCGGCAACGTATAAGTATTTCCCATCGAGATATAATACAAAAGGAGATGCTATTGTCATATAAATCATGCTATCGATAAAGGGACCGGGAGGTGGAGCTAAGTCGCTTAACAATATCGCGGATTTGCGAGGATTGTATCTGTTTTTAATGTATGTATTTGATTTGATTGCATTTATGCTATATGTAAATGATATCATTTGCTACACTTATGTATTTAGAAAAAATATATCTAATATGCAGTGTGTCCACTTACTTCAACATTTGTGTTTTTTGACCGATTTTCATAAACTTTTTTTTGTTGGATGGACAAAAATGTCAGTTTGCGGATATTCAGAAAATGTAAGACACGACCCAATACTGTATTCAAGTTTTAAGAGCGAAGAATCGAGAATTACTATGAGCGATATTTGAAAAAATTACACCGGTTTATTATTCAGGACCACCTAAAACATATGTTCACCAAATTTGGTTGTGATAGTATCCTGTCAGTTCGAGTCAAGTTTTTAGAGGTGCAATAGATTTCCTTATTAACTAAGAGTTTTTTTAAATATTTTTTCTTGTGGCATTTCTTTCTCAAGATTCATACATCGCATCTTTTGGAAACCAAACTTGGTAAAAATATGTTTTAAGTGGTACTGAACAATATAATCCGCTGTCATTTTTTTCAAATATCACTAATCGTACTTCTCGACTTTTGGCATGTGAAAATTGAATACAGTAGACTGGGACGAAATTACATTTTTTTGTTGTGGAAAATATTAGGCCTAATAAAACCTATTAGATACATGTTTATTATCCAAATATTTTTAAGTAATTTAGTTTTTGCGTGCCTACATAAATAAAAATCAGGTTTGGAAATAATCTTTATTACATAAATACATAGATTACAGATTAATTGATTACTGCCCTCTAAATAATACAAGCTTATTGCTATGATGTCTTATACTAACTACTTGTTTCTGTAGAAGGAGTGAGTCGAAAGTAGGTCTTAATACTGTATTTGCTAGTACTAGTATCTTGGCAGGTGGTGATTCTTCCTAAAATAAAACATTAACGCTCATTACTTCTAGACATTCATGAAACCTAGAATTTACATTAAAACATGCATTTAAGATGACATTATATCAAGGAAAACTACAAAAAGGATAAAAAACATAGACTGTTTTGAATTAAGTATACAGAACATTTTAGGAAACAAACATGGTTTGGATGTATTGTCGGAACAGCATTTGATTTGAGATTAACATAACATTTTGATGTTCTATCGAATGACTCCTCAGAAAAATGTTTCGAGCAAATAACATTAGATCTTGTAGGTGTCCATTCACCCCTTAACAAATTTCACCCAAAGTTGGCAACAGTCAGCGTTTATAGGGAATCTACAATTAAAGGGTCGGCCGGAACAACGTTGTATGTAACAAAAAAGCAGTGGCTGAAATTAAGAAAAACAAATTTGAACCATTTTTTTCAAATGACTGCGTCTATAGTTGGCCAGCACAATAAAGGAACAATAGTTATGCAAGGTTATTGTAATTTAAAAATGTGACAACCATTTTGCAGCTATGGGAACCATTTTTATGGAAAACGCATGTAACAAGGTTGTATGATCGCGTTACTTACAGCGTTGTTACAGGGAGGCTTTAAATGACTATATCCAAAACAAGTATTTTTAACAGTTCTATTTATTAAGAAAACCACAGTAACATATTTTTAATAACAAAAAAAGTTCATCAACTGTTTCGAAACCAAAACTGAAAATTAAATAAATATTACTGGGTTGCAGTTAATTTCTCATAAAATGTTCGATACTTAAGCGGAATATAATCACTCATATCAAGGTTTTTTAATTTTTCATCTTTGATTGGAAGAAGGTTGTGATACATTATAGATAATTTTTCAGATGATATGATATCAGTGGCAAAAGTCATTGTTTCTTTTCTTGTACGTTTGCTTATGGGAAATGAATTCCAGGGCTGCATAATATTACGAGATTTTCTCATTCTCAAAGTAGCTGGAGAATCAGCGGTAAGTTGCAGCCACAATCCTTCTGTAATCTTACATTTGGGGTATTTCCATATACCCTTTTCCAAAGCTGTTAAATTCTCAAAGAAGGCTTGGTGCATCCATACAACTTTAAAAGGATTTTTAACTTTGGCTTTAGCAATCACATTGACCCACTGGAATGGTTCATAAACCATATATATTATTTTTTCTTTACGTACATACAATGTTGTTACGCAGAAGACTGAAATGGCGCGCTTTACAAATTCGTGTCAAAGCGATTGATGCGAGAAAACAGGTGGGTCTATGTTGTCTACGGGTCCCAATAGGCACATACTATGTTGTTTTACGGAAATATCATTTTATAGAAAAATGTTATATACAACATTGTTCCGGCCGACCCTTCAATTAATAAATATATTCAAAATAAAAATATTAGATGGCTCAACTCATGAAGATAAGTTTTCTTCAAGAAAATCAAGCACCTTGACATCCATTTTATGAAAATTATAGAATCTCATGACCTGCAGTTCAAAATTTAATTGATAAATTAGTATTTATATTTTTCCGATAAATTAGATATATTACGGGTAGTTTGGTTAGTTATGTCAGCTTCGTTGAGAGGTATTAATAATAAGCTTAATAATTTTGGCAAACACGATTTTCTATAATAAACAATAAAGCCGAAATAAAACATATACAGGGTCTCCGCAAAGTTGGGGTTTTCCTTTACACGACGTGTAGATCTTGAAAACATAAGCAATTTTTCTTAGTACCATATACACCAATGTCTTAAGGGAACCGTGATAAAGGGCTCTGCAGCATCAAAAATATCTGAATACCGTCCTGTAGCCGCGACATCGCGGAGTGGTACAATGTCACTGGCTCAACCCGACAGAACTGGATCGGGGTCAGTGTGTCAGGTCAGTATGCAACCTTCAAGCGACGGTTACGGTCACGCCTGTAGAGGTAATCGCGTAGACGAGAATCCCTCAACAAACACTAGAGACGTGGCTAGAGAAGTGCAAGTATCAAAAACTAAAGTGTGGCAAACGCTGCGTGAAGAGGGGCTGTATCCGTTTCACGTCCAACGTGTACAAGCCCTTCAACCTGACGATTTTCCAGCAAGAGTGCGGTTTTGTGAGTGGTTGTTGCATCAACATGACAATAATCTGGACTTTTTGAAGTGCATATTGGTGACAGACGAATCTACATTCACGCGTAATGGGGTGAATAACTTTCGCAACACTCATGTTTGGTCAGTAGAAAATCCGCACGCTGTCCGTCGGGCACATTTTCAACAAACATTTTCGGTGAATGTTTGGGCTGGCATGGTGCGTCTGCTCGGTAGCGCATCAACTGACTTCATTTTCTGTTGGAGCGGTATGATTTCGGGCAGAGACGTACTTAGCCCTTCTCGTCAACTGGAGAGTGAGTACTTTTTCCTTTTCTTTTTTTTACTTGGTCGCCCTCGTTTCACTACACATTACCTTTGTTATTTCAAGGGTAGTTGTTTCTGAAAAGGAAGACCCCAACTTTGGGGACACCCTGTATACCTAGGTGCGCCTCTGTAATATGTTTATGCTAACCTATAGAAAGTTTTTTTTGTTGTATTCTTTTTATCCACTTCAGTCCGACTTGCACAACTCCTTAGAGCACAAGACACCGTAATAATATTCTTCAATTTGGGCAAACAGTATCACAAAAGCCTCTGAATTTCAAAAATAAGTACAATTAACTGCAACGAAATCCAAAACAACTCGCATAACGCACTTTGACATAACTTGGCAATATGGCGTACCCGGTGTCGCTCAAAGTCACGTGATTTCGTCTCCTCTTTTATTATATCTCGATGGTATTTCCAACCTCTGGTTGTAACTGGCAATGTGACAACTCACTTGACATGAGCGTACCATTTTGAGTTTATCTTTCATTGATATGCGCAATATAAATCAGCTTTACCTAAAAATACATCTAACGAAAAATATCAGCAGTTTTTGACTAAACTATTGGAGTATTGTGAGAAATTGAATGAAAGTTATGCTCCTTTATTATTCAATTCCTGTATGAAAGAGCCGCTGCGCTAAGTACCGGTTTGTCCCGAGGAATTTTAAATTTGAATTTTCAACGAATTTAAATAGATTAAAAGGAGCGAAGTCTATTTGTTTACATTGCATTGTTTGTCGCGAAACTTGCGTAGTGTTAGTGCATACTTTACATAATACCTAATATTTGTAGTGTCTCTTGACTATTGTCTTGACAGTGCGAGTATCACTAGGTATACCAAAATTTCATAATATCAAAATGTCGAATTTGGAACTTTAACTTTGAAATTTCCATTCTACGGGCAACAGTCCAAACGGCTTCATCATTAAAAATGCATTCTTTTCAGCTGCTATTGTCAGACCTTTCATAAATGACGGCCACAGATTTTTAGGTAACACGTCGGAGTCCGGAAGTGTTAAGAAGGTGCTTCAAACCGCAGATTTTGGATATTTTCTCACAGAATTATATCAAAAATTGAGGACAAGAATATCGCATTTATTTTGATTTTACGGGTTTGCCTAATCAGTATGCGCATTCATCAGTTTTAAGCAATGTCGGCCACAAATTTTAAGTTGACAGGTTCGAGTCCGGATGAGAAAAGAAAGTCCTTCAAAACGTAGACGTGTGTAATTTTCTTCTAGAATAATAGGGAAAATTTAGGTACAAGATTATCACATCTTTTTACCCGACTGCTTCAGAAGGAGAGTTACGTTTCGCGAGAGGGTATGTACTCGTATGTATGTAAATAATAAATTCCACTTCGCACAGCTTGATTGCATATGTAATCCCCCATCAGCATACGTCTGGTCAATCTAGTCTAACATGCTCCGCAGTTTTTTGTACCTGACTGACTTAGAGAGGCAGTTATGCCTTTCGCGCGAGGGTATGATTGTATGGATGTGGACATAACAATTCTATTTCTCGGGCTACAGTCCGAATGGTTTGATGGATTCTGACACATAAGGTGTTGATGGATTCGTCTTGGCCCCCATATAGTAAGATTCTGGGGGGAGGGGGCACATTGGTGGCACCAGCAAGATTTACTTGTGAACCTGATGGATTTTGACAGATAAGGTGTCTCTATATTGAATTGTCTTGAGAGCGCGACGGACACTGGGTATATTAAAGTTTTATAAAATCAAAATGGCGAGTTTGATTTGAGAATTTCAAACTTTGAAGTTGAATGGATTGATGGATTATAACCTGAGGTGTCTCTAGATTTTTTCGATGAAGACAATTAACGTTTTCGAAAGATTAACTGAAATTAAGAATCACTTTCTTTGAAATTTCTATTTAACGGGCTGAAGCCCTTGGCTACATTAGTTGTATATTTACTTCCCACGCGTACTGAGGGAGAAGTGTTGTAATCGCAAACATTTGTGAAACTAACACTTCTGCTGGCGTCGTACGCCGACCGTGATGAGTGTTCTGGTATGGAATCACCGCGCTACCATGGTGCCACGACTGCTCGAGTTAGCTATTAGGGAGAGGCGACGTTTCTAGTTTCACTACAGGTGGTGTAGGGAAAGAATGTCTATGAACTAATTCTATGGACCTGTTTGACTGACCTTTCTCCTCAGAGGGTACACTTTGTGTTGAACATATTTGTTTATGAACTTATAAGGGCGTTGCATGGGAAGTGCAAGTGATGTTAAAAAAGTCTGCAACTGGGTTATTTGCTGAGTATTTTCAATACTACCTATCCTTTTTTTGTAAATTTCGATAACCAATCAACTAATACCGATTATGTACATATCTCTTTCTAAATTCTAGTTTCGTGGAAAAACAATATAATTCTCATTATAATGTACCATAAACATCTTGAAATTTGCAGAATGTTCTGTTCCACCCTATATGTTACATACCGGACCATTGCCATATTGAACAAATATAAGAAAATAAGCATTTAGTTATATGATCCTCAAATGCATTTTTCATTTGTGAAATAAAATTCATATTAAATTTTCAAAAATACCACATATCTTTATGAAATCTCAAAATCATCTGGAACAGAGTGCTTTCCTGTATCATAACATATGTACAGGGTTTTCATTTGGAAACTTCCCACCACGGATTTATCGAAAACCACTGATTAAAACAAAAAACGCCGAGACATGTCGAAAGATTTGTCAAGGAGGACATATTCTTAACCAAAAACTACTTCACCCCCTTTCACCCTCTGACCCCCTTTAAAAATTTAAAATGACAAGGAGTACCGAGTAATAGACGATCCATTTTCAAGAAAATTAGAAAAATCTTTATTTATCTTAATAAACATACGAAAATATCTCTTTTTATTTCAATAAGTGTTCAAAATGTTGCCCGTTATTGGCCAAACAATGATATAGGCGATGTTCAAATTCCTGACGGACATTTTCAAAAACATGTTGTTAGATATCTTTGCAGCTTTCGGTGATAGGTTGAAGAAGTTCATCCAAACTTTCAGTTTGGGAAGTAAACACAATCGATTTCAAATGGCCCCACAGAAAAAAGTCTAACGGCGTCAAATGAGGAATTCTAGCAGGATATTCTATAGACCCTCTTCGCCCTATCCATTTATCAGGAAACAACTCGTCGTTGCCGAACCGGAAGAACATAGTGAGGAAGAGCGCCGTCTTGCTGAAAACATCCTCATCAAGTATAGGGTTTCATTCCTCTTCGATTTAGTTTTCAATGGTTTCAGTGATAAGCGGATTGATGATATTTTCCAACATATCCAAATAAATGTCTCCATTCAAATTTCTGTTAATAAATAATGGCCCAATCGCTTTGTTTTCTAAAACGCCTGCCCATACATTAATTTTTTGGGGTACTGGGCATGCCCTTCTGCAAAAGCATGAGGATTTCCATTGCTCTGATACCTGCAGTTATGCTTGCTAACAAATATTTAGATAAAATGTGCATTCACACTGATGCAGATTTTCCTTACATGAATGATATTATCATTAATCGCTGTAGTCATTTGTTCACAAAACTCAACTCGCTTATCGAAATCGTCTTCGGTTAACTCTTGCAAAATTTTCATTTTCAATTGATGAAAATGGAGTTTAGTAATTGTGTACGGAGCCTAATGAAATACCAGTGGCAGTAGCAATTTTGTTAATGAACTATTAGGTTTTGTGCCAAAATGAACCAAAACTTCAACTTGAGCGGCTTCACCCAAAACTCTCAGATGATCATGCTTTCTATTTTCAACAGATCCTGTTTGAGTATATTTAGTAACAAGGTCTAAAACATACGAAGTTATCTTCCCCGAATGTCTGGCGTTAAACGTTTGCCAAGCATATCGATTTTGGCACCATAAATAAGAATCATTTCCACTCTTTCAGTTAGTGTGTAAACCATTTTGGAAGTAACATCTGAATCAATAAATTAAGTTTTCCTATCCCAAGATTGTCACAAAAGTAACTGACAGCAAATTAAATTCTTTCTTTGCTTTAGCAACAAATAACTAAACAGGTATAACGATAAATACAGTTCGCCAAGGATATCTGTGTTGATGAAAAGAATGCGGAACAGATTTGGGTTGTTATCTGGTTGTTGCCTAACCTTCCGAACTGCTGTTTATGTTGGCAGTTTCCGTTTTAAATGATAAACGATTTGTAGATCTGGCAAACCCTAATTTTAAAGACTTAATGAAATAAAAGGGGATATTTTCGTGTGTTTTTGTTTTCTTTTCTGTCTGAACGAATTAGGATAATTAAAGATTTTTCTAATTCTCTCGAGAACAAATCGACTGATTTTATAAAGTCAAACGTCAAAAATAAAGGACTTCGAAAGACCTTTCGAACAAGCTATCACTCGATACTCCGTGTCATTTAAAATTTTGTCTCGGCGTTTTTCCTTTTAATCAGTGGTTTTCTAAATCCGTGGTGGGAAGTTTTCAAATGAACACCCTGTATGTACATTGTACACTGTGTCAGATTTCATAATTCATACTTATCGTCAAAAACACCCACATTGCAAGGGCAGTTAATGAAGGTAGATAATAAGCACTAAATAAAAACCTATTACATATATATAGTAAAATATTTCAGAACTTTCATATTTGGGCTCATTTTTTGTCCATTTCTTTCATCTACGCGCAGAAACTTGGATCTGAAATCATTTTTTCATCAAAAACAGCTGGTGTAGACAAGGTCGATTTACAAAAAATGGCGTCAAGGAGGTTGAAATAATTATGTTCAGCACAAACTAGACCCTCTAAGAAAAAAGCTAGGCAAACAGGTCCATAAAAGTGACATGTTGTCGATCCTTTTATTTGGATTTTGTAGTTTTTTTGTGTTATGACCTAGCTTTTTCTACAACATGTCAACACTAGCTGTTGTACACTTGTTGAAAACTCATTTTGTAGCTGTACGTGTTGCCTAAACGTTGTGATGCTTCAGCTATCAATGTTTGCCTCTGATGTGATGTAACGTCTGCTTCAGAGATGGCATTATTGGGGGTCTAAGGTGTAAGTTATAAACTTTAGCTGGAAGAAAACGGCAGTGCATAGGTGCACAGTGAGGATTTGTGTGCTAATAATCTGTGTTAATGTTAATTCAATTGGTTTCTTGTCTCAAATACAATTACATTGAGATGTATTCAAAGCTAGAAATTAGTTTAGTTGCGCATTCACTGTTTCTTATTCATTCTGGAAATGGAGTATGCAAATTTGTTGAATTTCAAAAATGAGAGAGATAAGAAAAGAAAATCCCTGGTTGGGGAAGTAATTAACTTTATGTGGAAACTCATATTTTATACTTACATACTGCCACATATTGCAATTATATTCACTGTACACTGTCGAATTACATATATATATATGCTAACAGTTTTTGAAAACAAAAGAAAACGGGAAAAATCGTAATTTATAATTTTGAACATAACCTGCCTTCAGAAACAACAACATATAAATAACCCGTCGGGCACAGCTAGATTTATATAGATATACCTACTTCATTGGCAGCATAGTCAGTAATAATTTTATCACATAGCAGATCAATACACATATTCCAGATGCGATCTTGCTACTCAACCAACTTTCTTTCTTTCACATCTTCATGATTCAGCGTGTCGTGTCGTTGAGTCTTTCCTCCACAGATGGACGCTTTTGATGACGCTCACAGCGATCATAGCGAGCAAACGTGAAATGAACTATTTGAAAACTAAAAACTACCTAGTCTGCACGAAGACATTTTGGTGCTTTTTTACGTTTTTTATGTCTCTTACGTAATACCCCTGCAGGTAGCACATCTGTAAACATCGTATCTCCCCGGTCACCTATAAGTTTTTATTCAAAAATCAACAGGATGCTCTGAAATGTCAAAAAACGAAGTTTGAGTGGTTTTTATCCTCTTTGGTTTCTAGCCCTTTTCTCTGCCTATTTTCAAAAACTAACTGTTTCGCCCTATCATAGTAATAACATTGTATAAAAATTTCATCGAAATTCCAAGTTACAGGTGGTTATAAAATTAGCGGACAGACCGACAGACGGAGCCAGGGAAATGGAAATGAGTGACATCGTTTTTCGTGATGTCATATAACATCGAAGAAACAGTATTTCATTTTTGAAATTTTTCGAAATTACAATACTTTCCCCCTAATAGACTTGTGGAGCAAAAATTGATTGTTTTAAGCTACTACAGTTGGGCTTTTTGCTGGGTTTGGACATCCACAGAACACCGTAACGGCGTGGGTCCTATATTGATATCATGACATTTGCTATATTTACTCCCTAGGCCTACATAGAGCTAATGTCAGCGCCACCTTCAACTAAGGTGGCGCTGCTAATGTAGTCTATAGCGGGGTCATCTCTTGGGGATACCCTTAAGTTCTTAAGATGCGTTACAGTTTTTATGCCAAGGAAAACTGCTTTCTTGCTTGGTATTTGGCATTTCTTTGATAGATAGCGCGATCCACTCGAAACGTCTAGCGCTATCTACTGAGTGGAGCTATAAGTTGTCTGACGCGTCGTACAGATATCTGTACCGAGGGTAAGAATGAAATTTTACTTACTGTAGTGCTTCTGAACTATCATAGATGATGCCAAAGCTAAAGTATTATCTTCTAGCGTCCTCTGTTAGGTAAAAGGTACACAGTCTTATGTGTTTTGTGGTTAGGTAGGTGATTGTATTTCAGTGAATCAGTGTTCAGACAATCGCTGCAATCAGTGCAGTGTTGTCGGTTCTACTGAATTTTCAGTAAATCTACTGATTTATATATTGATCTACTGATCTACTGAAACATTTTTGTAATCTACTGAAAAAATTATGATGCCTAATTAATGTTATTATTATTAATTTTTAATTCATAACCTACACCTTCCGTAATATTGTCGAAGAATCAGTTTAAATAAGGTCATCAATGATGACCCTAAATAAATTCGAAAGCGTCTTAGCGTTTGATATTATGCTGGTAATACTTTACAGCCCAGACTACTGATGTAAATATTTGGTTAGACAGAAACGGATGAATTGAATATTCGGATGAATCTTCCATGGATGAACCATCCGTAATAATAATACGAATCATGGCTCATCCATAACAGCAGTGGTTTTATGCGACCTGGCAACACGGACCGTATTCCTACATCACTGGACCAGACCACGGCCACGGGGAATCAACGGTTATTAATGCGTAAACGACTACGAGGACCGGGATTTCCCAGCGCTGCGCGACAACGCGAGGGTTTTGGTGTTTTCTTTGTTTTCACCTTCACAATTCGGTTTGATCTCCCATCCAGTGGTTTTGTTGAATACTTTATTTTTTTATCCTTTCGTATAAGCGCACGAACAAAAATGAGGCAAGTTCACTTTTATTAGTTAATATTGAATTCTAAAGATTGTATTATGTTTTTAGTTCAAGTGAGTACCATAACTCTGAAAATGAAGGGGCTGGTCCCTTGCCTTAAAGAACAAAAAATTAAATATAATCAAGTATTTAAGAAAAGCTGGAGCAAAGTGGAGCAATTTAAAAAGTGGATCAAACAGGGAAAAGATGAATACTTTGCTATGTGCCGCGTGTGCAATAAAGATATTTCTATTAAAAATACTGGCAGATTAGCACTATTTCGGCATCAGGATAGTGCGATGCACATTAAACTATGCAAATCTCAGAAAAAGCAGGGAACATTAACAGATATGATGGTTTTTAAGGGAGGCACAAATCAGGAAACCGGCTATCCAAGATTTATACAAATCTATAAGTACTGTGTATAAATATTTTTTTAGAATGTTTTATAAAAAGGGAAGTACTCATACAGTCCCCACTTTATCAAATTGATTTCAAAGATCCTAATAATTTTCTTCCCTTAGAAAAATTGTATTAAGGAGCCAAACTTCGAGTCTCAATTGAGTCATTGGGTGACTAAGACAAATCTACTTTTAGGAAAAGATGCCTAGAGTTTTATGTAGAGACCGCAAACCAAATAAATCAAAGGTTTGACTCCAATGACCCCATTTTCATTAATATGGATTTTACAGGCGTAAAAAATATTTTGGACAAGAAAGCTGACAGTATCATGCCACTTATGAAACATTTTCCAAACTTGGTTTCGGAGAATGAATTTCAACTGGTAGATAATGAATGGCGATTACTTCGAAATACGGATTTAAATTTCAGTTGTGATGTAGAGACATTCTGGTCAAAAATTGATGAAAGTATGCGCTACAGCGACGGAAATTCCATGTTTCCTGTTTTAAGTAGATTCAAAGAAATAAACTTTCAACTACGAGTATTGTGGGACATCTACACACAAACAATTATTTAAAGTCTAGAAAAGTAAATTGTACAAACGTTACATTTACAAAAGAAGTAATAAATTTACATAATAATGATATGTATAAACCAAGAAAGTACAATACTTTATCAGATTCCGAATAAATTCTATTTTTTATATAAGTACCTCTAGTTTCTTACGTTTCATTTTTTTACTTGTTTTGTATTTTTGGAGTTGTTTATTATTTTTACTATTTACTGCTGTTTTTTTAGATACTCGTATCTGATGAGTATATCCTAAGTAACTGTATTTTGTGATAAGTTTTTTTTTAATTAAGAATTAGGTATACGTTAAAATTTTTGTTTTGTGTACATATTCCTAAATTTTGTTAAGCACACAAATTTTCTTTATCTTTAAAAAATACATATTTTTTCGAGTTCATAGGTCTTTTTTATTGCCCTTTCCTAAAATTTGCATAAAATATATATCCACTGAAATCTACTTTTCGGCAACCCATTTACTGATGAAATAAATATCGAACTGGCAACACTGAATCAGTGTCATGTCAGTGTAGGTATATGTTTTGTTGTGAATTGTTTTGAAAAAGCGTTTTTACAGCAAATTCATAAATATTTCAGAATTAAAGTTAGATCGCAAATAATTTCTATAAGCTCATTTTCCAATTTAAAACACAGTAATGTCGAAGCGGATACTTAGTGCTTTGAACTATCCCCAAGCAGAATCATTGAACTTGAATGGTAGGTAGAATATTTGTACTTTTAGGGGATTTGTAAAAGCAGGAGACGTGAAATAGAATACGGCCCCTTCCCACTTCAGTTGGCCCACTTCAAGATTTGTACCAAAATATGCCTGTATAAACTAAACATGACGAAACTATTTACTTCTAAAACAATTTGTTTTCTCAAAAACATTTTAGATACACTCTAGTCGTAAAAAATACATATTTGAAATCACTTAGACCTACAACTAATAGAACATCTGAACAAATAAACAATGTGCGAATAAATGCGCGAAGTTAACAAAGCAACAATTGAAAGATTACCATTGGGTAACATCACCTTTATTTTTTATTACGGCTGAAATTCTTTGGGGCATAGTGTTAACCAAGTTTTGGCAAAAAGTTGGTGTAAAACAATCCCATATTTCTTGAAGCTTTGTCTCAGTTTGGTGTACGAGCAGAATGTTGTCGTAGAACCTTTTTCATCTCGTGGCACAAAGTTTCAATAGGTGACAGATCTGGGCTGCTGGAAACCCATTTTTCAGGTATGGCATGCTGCACCATCTTGCTGAAACACAAAATCTTGGCTGGATGTCAAACATTCTTCCATCACTGGTATAAGCGATTCTTCTAAAATTGCCAAATATTTGTTTGTATCCACATTTCCATCAATAAAATGAAGTTTTCCTACTCCTCTTGATGACATACTGCCCCAGACCATAATGGATGCCGGAAATTTCACTTTTCTCTTCAGACAGTCAACATGGAATGCTTCATTTTTTTTTGCGAATAACTCTACTGCGACTGTCACCAACACAAACTTCGAATCGGGCCTCATCACTCCATTGTATTGCACACCATTGGTGAGGTGTCCATTGTCTATGTTCTTTAGCCTATCTAAGTTGATTTTTCTTTTGCAGTGGAGTTAATAGTGGCTTTTCTTTGGCCTATAAACAACTTGTGCAACTTTAGAGTTTTTACTTCACTTTTTTTTATAAGAAAACTTACTTTGCAAGTGCTAAATCCCAGTTTGTGGGCCTCTCTATGAGCTGTGGACCTCAAAATTCTCCTTCCAACAGGGTCACTACACAGAGCACTTAATTGTAAATAATATGCATGCCTGTTTTTCACGATGATTCTTCTTAATGCTCTTCGGTCGGCATTTATGATATTACTTTTTTTCGCATATCATGGCTCACTATTAACTGAACCAGTTACGTTATGTCTTCTAAAAATATTTCTCACACTGTACCGCGATAAGTCTAACAATGTTGCAATTTCTGAGTTTGATTTCCCAGAATTAAAAAATTCAGTTATCACTAACCGAATTTTCTCACTAATAACCTTTCCTCTACCCATTTTGAAAACCTTAACCACCCAAAACTATTTTAAACGTATTCTGACAGCTGTGATTAATAAAAACAATTGTTATGGCTTTTATTTTTAACAGCCACCGATGCGAAATAGACTTATTTTGCATTGAAATGAAAATAGGTGATAAAGTTGGTGTTTTCTACTATATATTTTCAAAATATTCATTGTTAATACTTTAAACCTATAACACCCTGCTACATTTTTATTATTTGTGTTTGATAAGAAAAAAACTAAGATTTCAATAGTTGGGCCAACTGAAGTGGGAAGGGGCTCATAGTTGATTATGTTAAAAAATGTTTATATGAGCCGCCTAAGCTTTATATATACTGTAAAGTATCATGCACAATTATGACTTACTGCAAACAGAAACAGATATTTTACTGCAACCCTTTAATGCCTTACTGTAGATGAGGCAACCTTCAGGAGAATTATTGCTTGGTTGGAAATAAATATAATAAAGCAAGCTCCGAATGTTATTGCAAATAATCTTAAGAACATAACTGCAAGGGATTGGGATGAAATATACAATAGATATAAAGACTCCTTAGGCTGCCCACCTGTAGGATCTAAGCTTGAGGAACTACAATGGATACTTGGATATGCTGCACAAATTGAAACTAATGATAACAGTAAGTATATTTAATTTAACTGTGCAGTTATAATATCTTCATTATAGATACTGTATTTTTGCACAGAGCTATTGTTTACATGCAGTTTTTGGATAAATTTGAACCCTAGTTTTGGGTGGTTAGCTAAATGTCATGTCATTTAGAAAAAAGTACAACCTCCTTTGAAAAAATGTGTAACGATTGGTAAGATTCATTAATTTTCAGAAAATTGAATATTAGAAAACATCTGCATTCCACATAAAACAATTAATTTTTTAGGATGCCATTACAACTATTATAATTATGTAGATGCTTGGGTTTTTTGGTTTTAATTCTGTGCTTATAGACATGGATTTCAGTCCAACACAATCTACTTTTTTTCTGCTCATAAAAGGCTGAGTTCTGAGTGTAGGTCATTTGTTGTGGCAAACCTTGATAGGTTTATTGCTCTCTGTTACCTAAAAATGCAAATGTTTTGATACTTGTCTTATGCTTTTTTTAGAAAATTAAATTTTGAATTTGCTGATTTTTGTCCTTGTTTAAGTGGGTGCAAAGTGGATTATAGACATAATGTTCAAATAATTATTTGACCTGGTTTTATTTTGTTTTATTATATTATTATATTAGCTTACTTTCCATTTTATCTAATATTGGCGCATACAGATATTTAGTTATCTAGGCACCACATAAGAAAAACTGTATATTTTAGTGAATATGTAAAACTATTGTATTTATTGCCATGATTTTGTAATATATTTAGTAATTGAGTAATTTATGTAATCCCAAAATCATATTCAGTTTGAACTCAATCCAACATGTAAATGTAATCTTAAGAGATATATGATAAACCATTGTTTGTTTGGTATTTTAGGAAGTCTTTACTTGAAGCATGCTGTGGAAAATATGAAAAGCAAGAATGTTCCAGATGTGGTAGCTGAAAATCCTTTGGATAAACTAAACTGTAAGTATTTGACTGGTATTTGGGCAACCAGACCTGACAGACCTACTGACTTGTGATACTTTAACTAAGAGCAAAGGTGCTATGGACCACTTTGACAAACAAAGACACATAGACAGATATACAGTAATGGACAAAAGTATATAGACAAATATAAATATTTACCTAAATACCTTTAGAAAACAAATTCATACTTCATTGCTCCATAAACAAATGCGTTATTAGTAGAAAAACTAAATTCCTTGTTTTTAAATTATCTACAATGAACACAATACAAGCCTGAATATAAGCACTCTTTTATGATGGACAAAAATATGTAGACAAATTCTTTTCAACATTAGTTTAGTAGAGTTTTGTGTCAGAAGAGGATTAGTTTGTGTTCATCAAGTATTGTGGAGTAAGTTGAGTGATTTTAAGACCATGCTGCTTGGTCCAGAAATTTCTTTCGATGTGAAAACTAAGATCATTGAGTTATACAAAGATGGTCAATGTCAGGTCGACATTGCCAAAAAATTGAAGCTGAAGTGTAAAGCAGTTTGGGCAATATTGAACAAATATAAACAAAAAGGTATCTTGGAAGCCTCTAAGAGAAGTGGTCAGCCTAGAAAACTAAATACTAGATCAGTTAGATTAATAAAAGTAATTTCGTCCAAAGATCCGTATAAAACCCCAAGACAAGTAAAAGCTGAAATCGAGACAAAAGGAATTGTCAGTGTTTCTACGAAAACTATAAGTAGAAGATTAAATGATTTGAACTTATTTGCGCGTCGCCCGAGTAAGAAGCCGCTAATCCCGAGGAAAAACCGTAAGGACCGATTACAATTTGCACGGTTGCATCTTGATTGGAGCATCTGTGACTGGAAGAGGGTATGTTTCAGTGACGAATCCAAGTTCAATATGTTTGGATCTGATGGTGTTCATTACGTTAGACGTCTTAGTGGACAAAGATTGAACCCCAAGTACACTTTGCCCACTGTCAAACATGGAGGCGGGTCTGTTATGGTTTGGGCGTGCTTTTCGTGGTTTGGGATGGGACCTTTACATAGAATAGATGGCATTACGGATAAGTTTGTATACACAGACATACAAAAGCATGTCATGTTACCCTATATGGAAGACAATATGCACTTAAGATCAATCTTCCAGCAAGATAATGACCCTAAGCACACTTCAAATCTCGCAAAGAAATTCTTTCTGGATGAAAAAATACCAGTTCTCAAATGGCCTTCGCAGTCTCCCGATATAAACCGCATTGAAAATCTATTGGAATACTTAGATAAGCAAATACAATATAAAAATTATTCAAACAAGGATGAACTTTTTGCCGCTTTACAGCAAAAGTGGATACAGATTGATGAATCTTATATCAAGAATTCTACAATCTATGCCGAGATGATACCAGGAGGTGATTGATAATAATGGTTATGCTACAAAATATTAACACAAACATGGTTGGTTTTCTATAATTCAATAAACTTTGCTTCTTTTTTCTATAATTGTTTTGCTTTGTCTATATATTTTTGTTCTCCATAGTTCCAGTTTTTATCTATTAATTTTTTATTGAAGGGGTCTAATGAATTTATTTATGTATAAGTGAGTATTATGCTATAACGAATTATGTATACAGGTTGGTGTATTTAAACAAGTTAAAAAAGAAATACAGCACAATATTAATTTGTCTATATACTTTTGTCCATTACTGTATATATAGAGATCACATATACACTATTGTTATACAGGGTGTCCCATTTTAATCTCCCCACCTAAATATTACAAAAACTGTGTATTCTAGGAAAAATATTTCCAACAAAAGTTGTAAGATTTCAAGGGGACAAAAAGATGGTGACCTTGATAATGACTGACAATGACGAGGTTTTTTCAATGTCAAGTGTATATTTCACATGGAGATTGAAAAGAGGAGAAAATCTTACCTCCAAATAACACCTTAGTCATGACCTTAACTATAGCCTTCAGGGCCATTTAAATGTCACACCAAGACATCAAAAACTATTTGCTCTTGCCAAAATGTTCAATGGCACAGTCGTACGGCTTTAAGGGAGCATAACGATGGTGACCTTGATTATGACTGGGTTTTTTCAAGGTCTAGTGCATATTTTACATTGGAATTGAAAAGAGGAGGAAACCTTACATCCAAATAACACCTAATTAATTACCTTGACTAAGGCCTTCATGGCCATTTCAAGGTCAAATCAAGACATCAAAAACTATTTGCTCTTGCAAAAATGTTGGACGGTTGTGTCTTTATCTTTTGAAATTATGCATTGGTGGTTATTTTATATATTATTACTTGATTTTTCAGTTAGAAGCAATGAATTTGTAGATGGTGTAAATGAACTGGCGAAAATTCTGAATACTGTTCCACACCCTGATCCATTGATTACTCTCAGAGCTGTTAGAAAAGTAATTGTGAAGAGGATGGCTCCTGATTGTGTAGAACATGCTGAAAAGTACATTGTCAAGGTAAATGCAATGACTTTGTGCACTTGTCTGGCATGGTTTTGTGTATAATATTGAGTTTTAGGATTTTGCCCCATCCCCCCCAAGAATATTTGCTACCCCCACTCTAAGTTTTGGGGGCTTATATGCTTTCAAGGAAAGTTGACTCTGCCAATGGTTAGTCCTTGGGATTATTAGCTTTGCAGTTTTAAAATGCTGTAACTAGTTAATAATTTCCTTTTTTACAGGGTACACCATTTCCATTTGAAGAGCATGCTCTTGGTTTTGACCTGAAAGATCCTGTGTTAAATAGGGCCGCAAAAATTATGCGAATGATCTACATCCAAGACTTGAGAGAGCTCCAAACAAGAGCCAATGAGTTGATTGTGGCTGTGCAAAACATTACTGCAAATCCTAAAACTGATACTAAACTTGGAAAAGTTGGTTACTAGGAAAACCTCGGTCAACACAAACATTCTTTCAACTATTACAAATTGAAAACAAAGATTGTAAATTGAATTTCTTAAAATTTTCCATTGGATTGCTTTTAAAGTATGACCTTATTGAAGTATTGACCATATTTATTAAAATGAGTTTGTATTGTGACTTGTAATAAAAAACACATTTATGAATATATCACATCTTATTAATAAATTATTTATAAAAATAATGAAATAAAAATATCAGTTTTAAACCTTTCCACTTTATTCATCAACCTTGAACGGCAAACAGTCAAATATGGCGCCAACACCTAAGGCAATAGATCCTGAAAGAATATTTTTGTATTATGATGATTTATTATAACTTGCAGCTTCAGCTTGCTTACCTGTTCCTAAAATGCTAAGAATGATTTTTGAGTTTCCCTTGTAAATTTTTGCAGTATTTAGGAGATATGCTCCAATCCCTGTGAGGCAACTAACTGTTATTATCTTGCAAGATAGACAGGAAGCTTCATTTGAATTCATTTTATTCTTCATGAAAACTTACATTTCAAAATGGAACAAATACAAGTCGGTTAGGCCTTTGTTTACTTCAGTGACAGGAAAGTTTGGCATCAGTTTTCCTTGATTTTCTAGCCTAGTTCTTGACAAGATACCTTCAAGTAATCAATCACAGATGTCGCCCCGCTATAGCTCTTGTAACAGTGGTTTTTGTGATTATTGACAATACTAGAAACCTACCTTACCGTGCAACTATGACATACAACTGACAGTTGTCGCATCAGTATGATGCGGGTCCCACACGATGCTTACAACGCTCGACACCCCACAATTGGCAAGAGTGTCTCCTACACGATGGGATGTACTTTAGTCTCGATCGTTCGACGCATGGTGGTGCTATTGTTAGTGTCGCGCCTGAACCTTTAAAACTGAAAGAAAAATTATACAAAATAAACAAAGAAACAATTTTTTGAGCGCCGAAAAACAATTCCAGCTCTGTCCTCAGCGACCAAAACTTAAATCAGTCAGAAGCCTCAAAATGTCGAAAAACGAAGTTTGACCGTTTTTTGTTTTGTTTTTCGACGATAGCTCCACTGCCACCGTATCGATTTTCAAAAACTGCAGAGCTTTTTCGCCATTTTTATAGTAGTACCCTAGGATCAAAATTTCATCAAAATCGTGATAGTACTTTCAGAGTTATCATTTATTTAATCTTTTTCGTTAGTTATGAAATGGAAGTCAATATGTTTCTTAACTAGTCCTGCATTTCAACACGACATTATAATGAATCAACTGTAAGCACTTGATAATTTATAATTTACTAAAATACGTATCCTTAGGCCAGCCATAACTCACAAAATATTAGCAATATGAAAAAAGTGTTGTGATAGCAGCCTATGATTTGTACGTATACTAATTTAATCCATTCTCCTCAAAAGTTAATTACGGAACATACATTATTGTGAATAGGTAGGTATTCAAATCAAAATACTTCCCACATTCCACTACTTCACCACAATCACAGCAAACAAATAAATAATGTTTGTTGTAACCTAAAACCATCAAACACATGACGTCTCGTGTGGGAACGTAACGAACCATGCTTCCAACTTTGTAACCTCCTTTGACGCGGGTCAAATTTACCGACAAGAGCCCGAACGTGCCATGTGGCGAACGTTGGACACATGCAATCCGTCAGCCGTAAGCGCTCTCCGACAGGATGTGGCGAATGGCCAAGTGCCACACGTTGTGAGTTGTCAGGCGTTCGCCACATAGTGTGGGTGTGTGGGAGCGGTTTGATATTCTTGAGTTCTATCTACCACCAATAAACTTTATCATTTATGACACTAGAAATCTGCTCTGATTTATAATTAACTTACGGACAGATCAAGAGATGTCCGCCTGCCCTAACTGTCACTAGTCACGTATTGGCATTTGTGATCAATGACATCTCTTTTTGGAAATGGAAGGTTCACCGTAAAGTTTGTGCCGTAAAGTTTATCAAGGTTGGATTTTCTTTTAAACCGTGATGCTTCTTTTTGTGTCCCACTAATTTCCACTTATATTACTTATTTTTGTGTTATTTGATAAAACGAAAATGTCCACGGGCAACAATATCGAAACGGAATACCTAGAACTGAATTCGAAGAACGAATGGTCGGCTCTCTACCAGGTAATTATTATACTTTTTTATTTATCTAATGACACGCTTGAACCTGTAATGTTTGTGGAATTTCAAACGTATCTAGCGTTATCCTGGGGTCATATATCTATTTTCTACAAATAGCTGTGGAAACCCTAGGGCTCCATTCCGTCTGCGTATATGGGAAGGCTTTGTGTATCTTCTATTTTGTCCGTTTTTTTTCCTACATTTAAATATGGGTTATCTTTTGTAACATTCTCAACACTCTTTTAATAATTGCATTTATCGCTCCAGTTAACAAACTATGAGTTGTGATGTTTAATTGCAGTTAATTGCTCTATATTTCTTTGCATAGCTGTGGTAGTGTGACTTTTTTTGATTGGCACACCTATTGTTTTAAAAGAGTTATTAGTATGGTAAATAATTGCTGGTGGATTTGTTACTTAGAATCTTTCACAAGCTTTGCTTTTCTACACTGAGCAAGTTTCTGTAGGTTAAACATGACTAAGTTGCTATTTTAGTCCCATGATACTTTATGTAGGGCTATCATGGAAGATACAGTAACTGCTTATATATTATACATGTGAAAGTTATTAGTTATAATACTATTTTGATTCTATTGTTTTGTCTGCTGATAACAGATATTGATTATTGATAAAACTTTCATCTTTGTTGAAAAAAGTCATTTGCATGCAGGTCTGTGTCATGATATAGCTAGTTCACATATGTATGTATATGTAAAATTATATATCTTATAAATATAGATTCTTAAACAGTGTCCCAAACTTCACACAAGATTTCAATATAATTTATATAATATTATATTATTTCATTGAATCATAAAATACACATTCTAGAGTTATGTATGGAATAGCACATTAGGCAAATTGCCTCTTCAGGTTAGCTGCCACATGAATATTCTTATATCAACATTTTCCATGACTGTTTTGCACACACTGTGCCTGAAATTCATTGAAGCTGTGATGGATTTCTTTCTGCAACTCATTAATATCAGTGGACTTTTTCTGTCTAAATTGGATAATATAGATGTGAGTTACACTTGTGGAAAGATAGTTCCACATGCCAGTATTTAAATCACTGCAGAGTGTACATTTTGGTGATCATTATTGATCCCTAGATCAGTCTGTAGGCTTTCTTTTACTTGAACAGAATGAACTTTATGTGGAAAACATGTTGTTACAACAAAATGGTGTCATCTGCCAAGCAGTCCTTCAAGCAATTCATTTGCTACATGATTTCAAATCTGCAATATGAGTCAATATCTTCCTCTCCAAGGGAATACCAAAAAAAATCAGAAAAAGCACGAATATCTTAAGTTATAAGGAGACATTTTATTTCAAATTATGTTATATACTTTCTTACCTAATGATAAGCTGGATGAGGAACTGCATTAGCCAATATGAAAAAATACTTTTTACAGCAGTATCAGACTTTTCTGCCTACTGTTCTAGCCCTAATAATAATAATTTCATGGTTGTGCATGCTCACATTATAACCCTCTAGGTTTTGTGATTCAACACTGTTTGATTTCTTTATTGCACTATTTGAAGTCAAGGTCTATGTCAATATGCCCAAATATACTTATGGATCTATACAAGGTTATCCCCCAATGTACTTTATGATGCAGTAATGAAATAATCTAAAGAAAAAATGTTTACTCTTTGATTCAAATTTGGTCTGAATTCATGCGTGTAACAATTTTATTTCTGTGGTTTCTGTAGACCATATGGATGGATTGGAAAATTGTAAAAATTTATATAATTTTTCTAATTCTTCCTATACATATTAATAAAAAACATTCATACATATATTTTGGCACTTGTGAATCATAACATATATTCTATTACTTATAAAAATATTGCAAAATATTGTGTAAAAAAAATTGTGACTTCAAGGACATCTAGTGAATTTACAACTACAGTGATAAATTCCTGGAACTTGGTCAATTTAAAACATTTATTATAAACATGTTTCCACAACTTTGAATACTATCTTCACATACTTGTTATTATTCAATGTTGACTGTCCGACAGTATTTGTACCTGAAGATGACATTCAAAGCTGTGAAATCATTGTATTTATAACAAATAATATAAATTGACCAAATCCCAGAATGTATAACCTTTATTAGCAACTACAGCAACACATCCTTGCTTAATGCTCTTTGTGACTTAATTTGGAATATAAATTATTCATTAACTTTTTGTATCTACAGAACCTGAACTCTTAACTTCTTGAGCACTCAAGAACTTTTTAAGTGAAAATACCCCTTTAGGAACCTCCTTAACATGAACTAATTATAGTGTTAACTCTAATCTTGAGATGCATATTGTAATAAACACATAACATTATTTTCAGAGAATAAGATCCCAAAGTCAGAAAGATGGTTCCTCATGTGTAGAGGCAGTCAAGCCTCAAAATAAGATCCTGAACAGATACAGAGATGTTAGTCCCTATGATCACAGCAGAGTTATACTTCAGAGAGGTTCTACAGATTACATCAATGCTAACTTGATAAAAGTAGAAAGAGCCAATAGGCAATACATACTGACTCAAGGGCCCCTATCAAATACTTACAGGTAATTTCTAATTTGTAATATAATGTTTTTTGTCAAACTTATATTTTTAAACAAACATAACTGGGATGTTGAATAAAACCTTCAATCAAGGTACTATGGAGACAAGTGTGACCCTCTATCCTTGAAAATACTACTCAAACAAAAACATGATCAAGAGAAAAGCTGTAGAGTTTTGAGAAAACAAATTTGTGATAATCTTGGTCATGACCTTCAGGACCAACTTGTACATTTTAATTGGAACTGCATCTTTTTGACTTAAACCAATGCAAAAATCACAAATCTGTGCATTCTGAGCCATAAATTGCTGTTCCATTTTGAATTTTCAAGTTAACCTCTGAACAGCTGTGGAGATTAAGGTCAGAATCAGGAGTAGTAGTGGTGGGGAGGCGAAAAAACTTGGCAACTAGTCACTTTTGAACATTTTTACTGACTGCTTAGTACCAAGTCAGGGTTATGTTGAGGTCTTCACTGGAAGTAAACTATTTTCCTTATTATAAAATTGTCGATTTGACCACTAAATGACCTATATGACCTAGAAGGTCATGGTCAAGGTCGCCAATAGATTGTTTTCTTAAAACCGTGCGGTTTTTACTTCTACTATTTTTTTGCCCCATAAACATTTGTTTGTCTATGCTGATGAATGATTCAGAAGTCATTCTCAACAATAAACTTAATTTTTGTTTCAGTCACTTTTGGTTGATGGTATGGGAGCAACAAACAAAAGCAATTGTTATGCTTAATAAATTGATAGAAAAGAAACAGGATAAATGCTACCAATATTGGCCTTCTAAGATGGGTGCAGAACATGTAATGAATTTACATGATGTTGGACTAACAGTAGGTGTTTTGGATCTAATTTGTTAACTATTACCATTGATTAGCATATTCATATGTTATATTCGCGCATCTAAAAGATTATCTGGGAAAAAATGAGATACTGTAACATCATCCATCATCTAAAGGGTTAGTGTCTGATAGGTGGCACTGTAGTCGCTTCTATGCATCTAGGTGACGTGTACCTTTTCAAAATATATATAGTGAATAGAGAAACAGCTGTGTCAAGTTCACATAGATGTTGCTACAGAGTTTCATTTACCCCAGATAATTTTCTGGGCGCGCGAGTATAGCAATAGGTTGGCTATCTTCAGGTAGAACATGTTAATAAATGCTATTACATGTATATGAATGAATTCAAGGGCTTCCTAGTTAGACAAAATTCAGTGTGTTTGATGTCATTATGTTTCAGCACCATGTTATTATCTCATACAGTTTAATTCTTGTATATTATAGTTGCTTTAAAATGAACATTTTCCTTTAAAGCATGATCTAATGTGTGATTTATCCAAAAAAATAGGTGGAGTACACACACTTAGAGGATCATAGCTACTACTTAACCCGCACATTGCGACTAACTGATGCTGAGAGTGGCGATCACAGAGACATCCTTCAGTTCCATTATGTAACGTGGCCAGATTTTGGCGTTCCAACCTCGCCTGCAGCCTTTCTATCTTTCCTTACTAAAGTGAGAGATGCTGGGGCTTTAGAAGAAGATGTGGGACCAGCCATTGTGCATTGTTCTGCAGGTATTGGAAGATCTGGTACTTTCTGTCTGGTGGATTCCTGCTTGGTATTGGTAAGTGTTTTGCTAATAACACTATTTGGTGAATGTCACACAATCAGTATTGACTGTAAATCTGTCAGTATTTTTTACGGTATGTGATATTTGTTGACTCTTTAGTCAGGATGTATAAGGTTATTTAGAAATCCACTGATCCACTGACACTGACAAAATGATCAGTAAATGCTAATGGTATGGACCACAGTAAATATTGATTGTGTTCGTCTCGAGGGTCAACATAGGATTGTTTTCTGAAAACACAAAAATATTTCATTGGCCTCCCTTCTATGCTGTGTTTTATACACCCGTCTTTGTTACTTAAATCCCTCAGATAAATTTTGTAAATTCAAAATGGCAAAAGATACAGGTAGTACTATAAATTCACCACCGTCTCAACTTTTTGTGTGACTGCTTAGGAAAAAAGTTTATACAAAATTCATTTTTCCTAATATTAGACTTTTTCATATAATACCTAACTGATTTTGGACAAAGTTGTACTTTTTTCAAATAGAATACCTCACATATTTTTAATGAAAATGTTAGGTGTTTTTTTCTGGCTTCCAAAAATATGGTTTTTTGTTTTTATTTCTATTAAGTATATATACAAAATTAATCTTTTGACTAAAAAAAAAACATATGTATTGGAAGGAGAAGGAAAGCACTATTATTTTCACAAACAACATACCAGTTGTTGAATTTAAAAAAATATTATCTAATTCGATAGCACTTTTATGACACACAAAAAAGATACTGCATGACAAGCATTGCATTAGACTCTCCACCTTTAATAGGACTTTCTTCCTAAACATTCATATAAAGAAACAGGGTGTCAATTTATAACGTGACATTCCACTACAAGAAAACTGTCAGCTAGTTTTTATTTATTTCTTTGAATCTTGCCCCTCAGCTTGCTGATTGTTTCTGCCCCAACCTTAGCTAGGAAGAGGAGTAGGATATTTTTTGCATGTTAGGAATTCCTCTACACTGTAAACATAATTTTGCGAACATTTCTAATGGTATAATTTACATTACAGATTGAAAAGTTTGGCTTAAACTCAATAGATGTAAAAGAGATCCTGTTAGAAATGAGGAAATATCGAATGGGGCTCATACAGACACCAGAACAACTGAGATTTTCATATCAAGCTATCATCGAGGGAGCCAAGCAACTAACCAATCAAAATCAATCTCTTGATCATATTGCGGAGGTAAGTTGTGATTAAGTAGGATTTGTATGAATGGGGCTCCTTACTTTTAAACTGCACATTAATACTTCATCCTATTTTCCTTTTCCTAGAAGAAAAGAAGTAAACGCTAACACCTCCCTTGTGAAGACTAACTTACACTATTTCCAATTAATCCCAAATAAGAACATTATTCAAGGTAATATTGATAAAACTTCTTATATTTTTGTCAGAATACTTGAATTCCATAATACATGTCAAATTGTACTTATTGGTTATTAATTTTTTACTGTCTTTAGAGTACTTAAAAACGAAATATTGTCAGAGAAATCGTGAAAGATATCTTACATTATAACGGCGTCGAAACTTGGCGTAAATGCCCAAGTTGTGGAACAAAATTCAAAGCGTAGTTTATTCTAAATGCTATCATCCATGCTTGTTTCAAATATCATGGATAGGCATGCTTCCAGGCGGGAGGATGTCGACTTAGTGATGTCAATTTCTCGTCCTATTAGAAATGTAGATGACCAATCAGTTGACATCCTAACGATCTTCGGCGGACGCTAAAATGTCGTAAGCGCAAGGCGTAATATAGATGTCTAAGGACGAAACTCTCCTACCTGGGATAGATTATATATTCTGGCAGGTTCACCACCACCCGCCCAACTATCGTGTGTCTACAGTAGCGGACAAAAGTTTGGAAATATTCTTAGTAATTCTTAAAAATTGCGCTAATTTTTTAATCTTTATTATTAGGACTATTTTTTTCGCATATAGTTTGCTTACAGTCTTGAGGGTACAAATGACAATTTGTGTTTGCTGTGGTACCACAGACTAGTATTAAAATACCTTCATATTATTTTATGACCAAAATTGAGACGACAGAAGTATGGAAGCATATTTTTATTACAAAGTTAATTACAATAACTCTACAAAAATATTTACAAAATACTGCTTAGCTAATATTTGGTAGCATATAGCCTTTAGCATTCAACACTGCCTGACATATGCTGCTCGTAGAAGACAGCAATTTTTTACAGACATCTGTTGGGATATTTTGCCAAAAATTTTTTAGATAATCGAATAAATCGTTCCTATTTTTTAACAGTTTTTCTTGACAGTTGTCTTATAACATGCTCCCAGAGATGTTGCATATGGTTTAGGTCCAGAGATGGCAAAGGCCATGTAAGAACATTCAAAATTTTTTAGTCTTGACCAGTCCTTTACGAATTTTGAGATATGGTTGGAGTCATTATCTTGCTGGAATGTCCATCGTAGAGGCATTTCTTCTTCAGCAAAAGGGAGCATCTGTTCACTAAGAATATCTTTGTAAAGTTTTTGATCCATTTTCCCAATAATTTTAATAATTGGACCTGTTCCAGAACCAGAAAAACAACCCGAAACCATGATGTTGCCTCCACCATGCTTAACTGTTGGCAACTGATTCTTTTTGTCTAATCTTTTTCATATTGGATGTCTCACATATGCTGTACAGTCACATCCAAACAAGTTAAATTTGGCCTCATCGCTCCATAAAATTGTATTCCATTGTTGTTTTGTCCAAGTTAGATGAGTTTTAGCAGATTCAAGCCAAGCAATACATTTTTTTTTTAATGAGACGCTTTTGCACTGGACGCCTCCAAAAAGCCGAAAATCCCCCAAGCGATCCAAAATTCTTGATATTGGTTCTTGATATTTACTAATAATTTTTGAAATCGTCCCTTTGATAATTTTTAATCTTTGAGAAAAATCAACATGTCCGACACCACTTGTAAATAATTCAATTACTTTGTCTTTTAAATCTTTTGAAAATTCTTTTACTTTTGCCATTCTCACCGATGTTAATATTTATCGCACTCAATATCAGAGTACAATACGGCAAACCTGAAATGTTTCTATACTTTTGTCGCTACAAAGACTGTGGCATTTAAAAATAATTTGAACATTGATAAGATAAACCTTGAATTAGTATGCGACCCAAAGGTAGACTTTAATATTTTTATTATCTGTTCCTTCACAATTTTAATTTAGGTATATGAACTAGTTCATAATAATGTTAATATTTGTTTCCAAACATTTGTCCGCCACTGTATGCTCATTATCAGATAAAATAGATTTTTTCCAATTCCGTATACTTTCGATCAGAAGTTATACTTTTCAGTTGAACTTCAAATGTATTTTGCATCTTTATCTAGACAAACAACCACATAAACGGAGATGGCGACAGCTTGAAGACAAATAAAATCGGCGTAACCACTGGCAATTCAGTGGAGGTTGATGACACTTCCTCGTCGGAGGAAGAGGATGATGGCCCCCCGCCTCTCCCGCCTCCTCGACTGGACAGTTTGCTGCACCGAAGGAATGGGGAACTTCAACCAGACAGGCCATTGCCCCTTATACCAAACAGTGTATCCGACCAGTGTCTTAACTATGAGGAGCATGATAACGACGAAGAGGTAATCATTGTTTACATCAAAGAGATGTATGTTATTTTATTTCCTGTTATCTTCCCCTTTTTTTTTTATTGAAGTAGATGTAGAAGCAGAACTTGAGCTGCCTCTATGACAAAGTTGTAAGCTATTCCACTAGAAATGATTCAGGAAATCGGCGTTAACACACAGCCTTAGCTCTAATAGCGATGTTGCGACTCGAAATCATTAGGTCTCATAATATATGTCACTCTTTATTGAGCTGACAATTTATATGCCTTCCAAAATGAAGAATACCCAAAATAATTTTTTTTTGTAAGGGAAACGTACCTAGCTAACCCCGTATATAAATGCAATTATATGAATGAATAACGAAATTAGAGGCATACCAGCCACCATTACGTGCCGCCGCATAGGCCGCATAAACGGACACATCAATTCTCTAGATTCCATGAGTTCCAGGTCCTTTACATACTGGGGGATCCAAAGTGTTGGACCACAATATAGCCTGCCTGTAGTGGCTCATAGCCTCATAGCGATACAGCACATACGCCGGGACTCTTCCTCTACCCTGCAGCGCAAACACATGGGATCCTCAGCCACCCCCATCACCTGTAGGTGTCGCCTTATCGTCTTATGGACAGATAGTAGTCCCACCAACAACCTCAGGTTGGCTATATCCAAAGATATGCTCAGGGTACCAGGACATGAAGGGCACAAAGGAAATGAAAAGGCTGATGAGCTAGCCCGACAGAGTGCGACCAATCGCCTCACCGGACCAGAGCCTTTCTGTGGCGTGACCAGAACACACACCATACAGTCCATAAGAAATCTTTCCAAGAAAAAGCCCCAAGAATGGTGGAACAGCCAATTGGGGCAAAGGAGGCAAAAGAGTTCATCAAAGAACGTAGGCTCGCTTTTACAGAAGACCTACTCGAACTCAATAGAAAGGCCATAAGGGCCGTAGTGGGTCTCCTGACAGGACACTGTCGTCTAAATCGACATATGAGACTCTTGGGTCTGACAGAAGAGGCCACATTCTGTTTCTGCAGAGAGCATGAGGGAACCCCAGTGCATCTCTTGTGTCACTGCGAAGGCCTGGCAAAGCTACGGTCTCAGATAGTAGGAACCACAGGTTCAACAGCGGAAAGGTACATGCAAGGCACTATTTCAAGGCTATGGCACAGAGTATTATACAGAGGCGACACTGTCAAAAATCAGGCTCTATCAACGCCAACTTGAGTCCTATGCGTTTGGTGGGATTCGTGTCGCTGTGACATTTAGGATTTAGGGGTTATCAAAAACATTGAATGTTATCAATACTATATATAAATATTTAAATAGCTTTCCAGGAAAGAATAATAATTATCTCGCTAAAATGCATGGGGGTAAATGATAAACACACATAAATTTCGTGATTATGTTGTTTGAAGTATGACATTCGTGACGTCTTGCTAATAACGTGTATCCACCCCTAGGAAAAAATCCTCCGGACGCTATTGAACATAAGCGGGAAATGTGGTAAGCAGTTGGGAACACGTTGATCAAAGGTGTCGCATCTGTATAATCTGTGGCTATGGAGTCTGATCACAGTACACAGTGCCTTAGAAATTATAAAGGGGGTTCACAATAGATCCTTAACACTGGGCCCTACGATAGACTCCCTTGCCTGCCGGAGATGTCTAGAGATGCTTCTCCATTTCAGAGAGTGTTGTCTAGCAATGCACTTCTCCATTTTCCTTCTGAATTTTAGTGCAGAAACTTCTCGGAGCTTTAAATTGTTCGGATATACCTTGAATCCAATTTTCCATATTTTGGTCCAAAGTTGACCATTTTCATGAAGTCGGAGGGCGGATCATGCCTCATATTGGGCTAAAATTTCTTTGCTTGCCGTTGAAGAGAACATATGGAGGCATGAGACCTTGAGAAATCTCAAACTCCTTGGGTCGAACAGTTCGCTATGGAAACGCGTTCAAAGATACAAGATTCGGAAAAATGTGGATTTTAGCTTTTTTGGCAACATTTTTACTTTCTCGCTACTTCTTTTTTGTGTTTCATAAAAATTAATATCTTTTAAGCTGTATAATGAACTGCAAATCAATAGTTAGCTGAAGAAATGGATGTTAAACTTGAAAAATAAAGCTTTGTATCCGTTCCTCTTTTGAGTATGTTTCATTGCAGTGTATAAAAAAGAACAACGGAGTATTAAAAAATTGACATTCCTAGGCTTCTCATGTCATTAAATGTTTCATCACAAAGTTAACTTCTTCTTTAGAAGTTAGACTGACTCGGGAAGCGGCTCTTCTACAACTATTTCAGACAGAAACAGAAAGAAAAGTAATAGAACCTCATCTAATAGTGTTAACTTAATATATCTATAATACAAAATTAATTATTTTGTAATAAACAGACAAACCTGGACACATTGGGTTAAATAGTGAATAAAAAACCTAACCATATAAACAGATAATCCTGTCTACTTAAGAGCGAATTCTGGTAAATAAAATTTGGATTTGCCAACATTGTATCAATTATTTTTTTACAGGTCCCTTATATTCCTACTGGCCCATTACCAACAGTCCCAGGAGATGAAGAGCACAGCGAGTCAGATGATCAGGAGAATGACCCGAGATCTGAAAGTCCTGCTTCAGGTCAATCAGATCAGTCCAATTCTACACAGAAAAGGTACAGTATTTTCGTATTCCAAATTCACTACGTTTTTTCAGATCATAACATAGCAACTGGTATTTCATGATGTTATATCTTAAATTTTCTTAATAACTACACAGTTGATAATTCAGTGTTATCTATTGCATGCATAGTGTTTTCTTGTTATGCGAAATAAGCATCCCGACAGTATAACGAGACCTCACAGCCACAGCATGATGTTCAGTACCAGTTAGACTCCATCGAGTCACTTGTGTAATTCTAAAAATTTGTGACGAACTGTATGTACTGTCCCACAGTAAATGTCTTTAAACATGTATTTCTAAATTTAAGACGTATGTGGGCATATTTCCCTCATAATCAAAACAATCTTAATGCATGTTTACTTTCCTCCATCAGACCTCCAGTAAACGCTATATGAGGTGTGACAAGTAAGGCGACTGATTTTATTGCGACGCTTGTGATAAACCTGCGACCGTGAAATTCCCTTCCCCGGCATCCGCCCTCTCTCCATTGATATCTTTACCACCTATCTAACTCATTTAGTTCGCTTGCTGTGCCGTGTTGAGTAGACGTGTGTTGGGGCTGCTCGTCACCAAAATGGAGAAGCAAAATCTAGATTGGGCGAAACAGCTCCGGAAACGTACGCTGAAATTGTAAAAGTGCATGGTGATAGTGCTCTCAGTCGTGCCCAGATGTTTTGATGGCATAAAGAATTTAAGGAGTGGCGTGAAAGCGTGGAAGACGAGGCGCGGAGCGGGAGACCAGTCCGTGAAGATCGGCGTTAAACAGTTCGAATGTTGGCCTCGGAACTGGGTATGAACCGTGAAACAGTCAGACAAATTTTAAACGACGATTTTGGGATGAAAAAGTTGTCCGTGAAGATGGCTCCAAAGAACTTTTCTCAGGAGCAAAAGCAGCATCGAGTGACCGGCGCAGCAGACTGTTTGGGCAAGTGGAAAACGATCCCACGCTGCTTGATCGAGTTATTCCAGGAGATGAGAGCTGGTTTTTTCAATACGACCCATACGGCTATTAGGTAAAAAAGCTATAAAACGTCAAAAAACCTATAGAATGTCATCTTGCAGACCAGGTAGTTTTTAGCGTCCAAACAGTCATTCCACGTTTGCTCACTAGGATCGTTGTGAGCGTCCATCTATGGAGAAATTACTCAACGAAACTACACGCATTGTTGGTTGCATATGTTTTGTGAAGCCAAGTGGTCTGTAGTTTTCATCTCTGAGAAGAAAGTTGGTTGAATAGAAAGACCGCATCTGGATGATTGTGTGTATTGGTCTGCATGTATATAAAATCAGTGATATTTGCTGTGTGAGAAAATCATTACTGAATATGCTGCCAATGAAGTATATCTATTAGCTGTGCCCGACGGGTTATTTATATGTTGTCCTTTCTGAAGACAGCTTATGTTCAAAGTTATAAATTACGAAAAACTCTGAGGAGAATTACGGGAAATCACCACCGCGCCCGCGTTGTGTGTAATTACTGTTAGCATGTATATGGCTTGTAATTCGACAGTGTACAGTGAATATAATTATTTCTTATCTCTCTCATTTTTACAATTCTGCAAATTTGCATATGTAATTTCCAGAATGGATAAGAAAAAGTGGATGTGCAACTAATTTCTAGCTTTGAATCTCAAGTAAGTGTTTTATCATCAACACATACAAGTTACAGCTTAGACCTCCAGTAATGCCATCTCTGAAGCAGATTTTACATCACATCAGAGCCAAACATTGATAACTGAAGCCTCATGACGTTCAGGCAACACGTACAACTAAGTGCTAAGTTAACATCTTGTAGAATATCCCACATAATGTCAAAAAAACAGTATAATGTCAACAAAAAAATGGACACAACGTCACTTTCCAAGATACGTAATACCCGTGCTGGAAACCAAACGCCAAAGCTCTGAATGGTTGTCTCCGCACGATCTCCGCCCGAATAAAGCTCGCATGAGCAAGACGAAGGTGAAAACGATGATCATTACTTATTTTGATAGCCGTGGAATCGACCAAAAAATCAATTCTACTATCGCCAAGTACTCGAAAGATTGCGAAAACCCCCATACATCGTAAACAACTGGATCCTTCATGACGGCAACGCGCCGTGCCACACCGCCCTCGGCGTGTCCCAGTATTTGGCCTCTAAAGGGATCGCCGTGTTTCAACAGCCGCCCTATTAGCCCGATATGTCTCTCTGCGACTTTTTTCTGTTCGCTAGAGCAAAATCGGTGGTCAATGGAACACATTTTGAGTGGATTACGGACATCCAAGCGGCTGTGACGAAGGTACTCGCGGACATCCCAGTCTAAGCTTTCCTGAAATATTACGTGGAAGACGCACTGGAATCGTTGTATAGCTGTCCAAGGGGACTACTTTGAAGGAGATGTTAGAGTTGTAGAATAATTTTTAAATATACTGTTTTTATGGAATCAGTCTTATTACTTAATGTCACACCTCGTATAAGTCTACAAATACTAATTCCGGATTAAAATAGGCATTAGACAATGTTTTTCGAATAGTTCCTTGAGTAACACCTTGAATCTTTCCCTTTGTGTGTGCAAAAGGGTCTTAAAATTCCGTGACTACTAGAATAATAATTGATTAAAATATACTACCCGAAGATATAAATGAAATATCGCGGTTTTCCAATCGCAAGTTAACTTTCAAGTTAGGTAGCTATTACTTGGAAGTCAACTATAAGTTGTCCGAAAATTCTTTTTCCAAGTTCTAGTTCAGTAATACATGATGCGGCAGCGTTGCTACTACGTCTAAACTATTGTGTTAGTAAGTGCGTTTCATGATACTTGATGACGTCCATGACGACTCATATGACTGTCATGGATTGTGGTTCCACTACATCTTTATGTTTCACCAATACCAGGTCCTCTGATTAAAGTTAACTACTGTACCTAACATTGAAAAACGCTTTTCGAGGTTTAACTTCATCTTAATGGCGAAATAGTAGTTTACCTTCGATTGAAAAACCGAAACTTTTAAATTTACTTTGAAAAGAGTTAGTTTTTGTTTCTGCTATTCTAGCGCCAACTACGACACAGTAGCAGGACCAAAATAAAATAAACCAAATACTGTTTTCAAGGTAGATTTATAAATTTTTTTAGATTGCGCTGTTACAATCCACAGCCTTTTTGGACGCTGCAATAAGGTATTTCTTCACGTAGAATGCATTAATCAATAAGTTTCCATTGTCTGACCGAATCGAACCAACCACATATATGTTTTAATTTCGCGTTACTGTACGACGTTTCGGTCACCGTGGCCTTTCTCAAGTACAATGACACTTTTCGACAGTCATTAATTGCCGTTGTACTTGAAAAAACCCACTGTGTTAGCCGAAACGTTATACAAAAAAGAGAAATCCCTACTAATATTATAAATAAGAAATTCTGGATGTACGTTAATCAATCCCGCCAAAATGGATGAACGCATCTGGATGAAATTTGGTACACAGATAGATTATAGTCTGGAATAGCACAACGGCTACCTTTTATCCCAGGAAATAACTTTGAAATATCTATTTCACGGGCTACAACCCAAACGGCTTAATGGAATTTGACATGAGGTGTCTGGCGCGGAATCGTTGGTCCAAAATGAGTAGGGGTATATAAATAGGGTATTTATTTATTACTTCATATTTAGTTACTCATTCTTTGTTAATGTGTTTCAAGAGTAAATAAATATTATTTACTGCATTTCAACATTCAGTCTTTTTAGCGTGATCGTCTTGATTTAGATTTGCTTATAGTTTTGTTTTACTTCAAGTATGATGCTGTGAATAAATAGATATGGGATTTGTCATACAATTATTAATGCGGCTAGGCGGGTAAGGAACATGTATTTGTTATCTATCATACTGTGTGGTCGGGTATCTTGTCTATTTATGAATGTTATTAACCAATCTGTCAACTTAAAGTTTGAACCACAATACTGAGAGACGTAAAAAGTTACACTTACTAACTGATACCTGAGGAAGGTTATAGACATGGTTTTATACGTGAATTCATCGTCGATTTTGCAATCAGCTGTCGTGGTAAGTACCAAAATCTCCACCTAAGGCCAGCCTCCGCCCCACTCAACCTGTGACCGTCAAGCGATGCAAAAGTTATATTTATTATCAGGTGTCACCCGCGTCTTGGTACCTTAAAGCTGTTACTATCACAAAACATTGTTTTTAAGTAGTGCTATGAATTTCCGATCACGTGTTGTATTTTTGATGGCATTAATAAATTGGCTCCCAACTTGTACGCCTGGGAAATTTGGTTACTTTATTAGTGGTGCCACCTACACGTTCCGCGGGTAAAACCGCGGGGAAGAAAGCTACAGTAGCGGACAAAAGTTTGGAAACAAATATTAACATTATTATGAACTATTTCATATACCTAAATTAAAATTGTGAAGGAACAGATAATATTGGCTCCCATACTAATATAACATTTATGTTATCAATATTCAAATTCTCTACAAAAACGCGTTTTTTTTTAAATACCACAGTTTTTGTAATGACAAAAGTATGGTAACATGTCAGTTTTGCCGTATTTATTCGTTCTGCGGTACTCTGATATTGCGTGCGGTAAATATTAACATCAGTGAGAATGGCAAAAGTAAAAGAATTTTTAAAAGAATTAAGAGACAAAGTATTTGAATTATCTAGAAGTGGTGTTAGAAATGTTGACATTTCTCAAAGATTAAAAATGAACAAGGGACGGTTTAGAAAATTATTAGTAAATATCAAGAATCAATATCAAGAATTTTGGATCGCTACATTAAACGTTTGTCCCATGAAGATCCTCGAATGCCAGCCACACAAATTTTCAAAAGAATCGTAGAACAGGGTGCCGAGAATCTTTCTGTCAGAACTGTGCAGAGACGCTCGGGGGATTTTGGGCTTTTTGGTAGGCGTATTGCTGGGCTCGGCAGAACAACAACGGAATACAGTTTTATGGAAAGCAAATTTAACTTGTTTGGATCTGACGGTTCGGCATATGTAATACGTTCAATACAAACAATATTCGACAAAAAGTATAATTTGCCAACAGTTAAGCACGGTGGAGGCAACATCATGGTTTAGGGTTGTTTTTCTAGTTCTGGAACGGGTCCAATTATTAAAATTGTTGGGAAAATGGATCAAAAACTTTACAAAGATATTCTTAGTGAACATATGCTCCCTTTTGCTGAAGAAGAAATGCCTTTAGGATGGACATTCCAGCAAGATAATGACCCCAACCATACGTCAACATTCGTAAAGGACTGGTTAGGACTAAAAAATTTTGATTGTTTTTACATGGCCTTTGCCATCTCCGGACCTAAACCATATGGAACATCTCTGGGAGCATGTTAAAAGACAACTGTCAAGAAAAACTGTTGAAAAATATATATAAAAAATGTTTTGGCAAAATATCCCAACGGACGTCTGTAAAAAGTTGCTGTCTTCTACGAGCAGCATATGTCAGGTAGTGTTGAATGCTAAAGGCGATATTCTACCAAATATTAGCTAAACAGTGTTTTTTTTTGTAGAGTTATTGTATTTAACTTTGTAATGAAAATATGCTTCCATACTTTTGTCGTCTCAATTTTGGTCATAAAATAATATGAAGGTATTTTAATACTAGTCTGTGGTACCACAGTAAACACAAATTGTCATTTGTATCCTCAAGTCTATGAGTAAACTATATGAGAAAAAAATAGTCCTTAATAGTGGAGAATAAGAAATTAGCGCACTTTTTAAAAATTACTAAGAATGTTTCTAAACTTTTGTCTGCTACTTTCGATCAGACAATGGAGTTTTATGAACATGAAAACCACAGGATACGTTTCAAGAGTCGAAATCAATACTATAACTACTTTGTTCACCAGTAGTGGAATTTTTGAAATGTGGTTATTTATAACCACGCAGTTGCTGAATACACTTCATTGAAAATTGAAATTTTGTTTGTTTCAGCTCATCGTACGAAGTGCGCCAACGCAAGCGCGCCCAGCGTAAGGAGCACATGGAGGCGCAAGTGCGGGATATGAAACGTCGCCAGCAGTCAAACGAACAGTGGACGCAGTTGAAGAGGTCTCTTTACATACCCTTAATGATCGGGGGCACTCTCCTGTTAGGGGGCGGCCTTGTCGCTTATGTTTATTATAAAAATTGAGAAAGATAGAGGGCGCGAGTAGTTAGGCAGAGAGAGCGTTGTTGTTGGAGGGGTTAGGCGCAATAATGGAGAGACGGTGTTGGGTATGTTGGGTTGTTACAGCGAGTTAAGAGGTGGTATGTTTGTTTCTCTAGACACGATTTAGAGTTCCTGGTATAGAATAAAGATAGTTTGTCCGTTTGTTGAATTGATTGATTTAGAACCCATTGGTTAACGTCTTGCTATTTTAAACCAATTATGCCCGGTTTTCCAATTGCAAGCTAACTATGATATTACTGACAGCCAGAAGTTAAATGTTAAAACCAGTTTTCTAATGTCAGGTTTCACTTGAAATGGTAGTACACATTAACCAGCAGACAATCTACGGGGTAACTAGAAATTGTGTTAAACCGTACTACCTAACCTTTTTGATTAACAGTGACATGAGTTTTCGCGGATGACACGAGACACAAACGTCGAGCGTCAGAACTAATTAAAAATGAGCGAGTTTCATATGTTTCATTGAAAAATGAATTTACAGACAACTACCAGTTAACTTAGAAATTAAAGTTAGCAAATTCAGATGTTAGACAGCATTTGAAAAACCGTTAACTGATAGTTTTTGATTTATTCAAGTCCAGACAGAGTTTATTCCAATAGATATGAAATACTTCGGTTTAACGTGCATTTAGATATTGTTTGCTTTTTTGCTACTGACCACTCTTAGATTCTTAAGAATATAGTCTAATATTTGTGATAATGTACATATAGTAAAAAATGAAACTGCTATTTATGACCTGTTGATAATTTAAACTAAAGTTTACTTTTTACGCGAAACATGAAATAGTACAGGAAAGTAATGAGCTTCTTTTTTCAAAATTAATTGATTATTTATGTAAATGAACTCAATATTCTCCGAAATAGCACCCTTTTGCGTCGATACACTTTTGTCAGCGTGATTTCCAAACCGCGTATGTTCCCTGGAACTCCTCGCCTGGGATGCTGTTTAGGGAGACCGCCAAAGTAGCTTGAATGCTGTCTAGGGTGTCCAGATGCTGACCATTGAGGTCCCTTTTTAGTCGGGGAAACAACAAGAAGTCAGCTGGAACCAGACGTAGCTGGGGCACCGTCGTGGACAGCAATAAAGCGGACACCCAGCCAACAGTCTGTGCTGAGAATTTTTCGCACACTGGTTACATTGCTCTCTGCCCGCGATGTCGCCTCTCGCCCCTCCCGGAACGACTTTTGCTACTTTTTTACTTGTGAATATGTTAGGCAGATATCCCCAAACGATGTTTCAAGCAAATCCGATGTCTCTATTGGTGTTTTTGTTTAGTTTCAAACAAAACTTCATCGTGTATCTCTGCTCTAAAGTTGTTTCCATCATAACTTCGACGGTGTCGCAAAACAAGGGCTTACAAAAAGTAGCGTACGCACCTTCCAAGAGCTCGGAGGCAAGCTGAAGGTTTCCCCCATCCTTCCCAACTGGTCGCGTCGCGCTACGTTGCCAAGTTGCGTCACAAATAAATGAAGCTCATTACTTTCAAGACAAACCCTGTATAATTATAAGTTTTTCGTTAACCTATATTCTTACTGGAAGAAGGCCTGCTTCTTGCAAAGGTAGTATTTGAAGTAATTTTCACATGCAGTTCACCATTGTAATTTTTTCGGAAATGTGGTACTTCTTCCAAGGTTCGAAGCTACGGGCGCATGGGGCTTACTGTACTGAATAAAAGCTGTTGAAAGTTAAATGCAACTGTTTTCAATTTAAAATCTCGTTCACTTCCAAAGCCTTTGTCATTTGAACGTGGCTCCACTAATTTCATATTTTTACTAGATAAACCGGTAGGTGTGTGGTTGCTTCAGTGATCCTTAACTCTGGAAAACGCCAAAATTATGAATGTTAAAACTGCGGGTATTTTTAGAAAATGTTTCTTATTTCTATTTCAAGAAATTGAGGGAGAAGCGCACGTGAAAAATATTGTTTGTCTTCATTTAAGTTTTTTCCTTTGATAAAGTTCATAATTAAAATAGGGTGATATTAGAAGATACGGAAAGCATCCAACACCGTCTCTCTGTCTAATTGATGGACTCTTTTGCAAGATTCGTTTATATTATGTTATTTATTAGTGAACGTACACAGATGTTTTTGGTAGCACTGAGGAACTTTATATATACGTCATGTAAACTTCGTTTTATAAACACAGTTAAACTTTTTACACAGCATAAATACAGAACTGATGCAGAGTTTCGTTGAACGGTTTGTAAAAAACATTCATTGGTTTCTGGTGTTTCATAAAGAAAAATGGTATTTAGAATTTTCACTGTTCAACGATCATAAAATATAGTAGAAACTAAAAATCTTGTAATATTTAGGTTGCTCTGAAAGTATTGTAAAATATCCCATGAAGCTTTGAAAAAATGTGTCGCTGCAATCTGTGTTAATATGGATGCTATGCGCGTATAAACTTTTTACAAACCGTCCAGAACAGATACACTAATAGCATGAAGTATAGATTGTGTTTCATATGAGAATAATATCATAATAGTATTTTTGCGTCGAAGACGATTACTGAATTAGGGGAAACTGGGGTAAGATGACGATACTAAGAGAAACGCATTATTATATAACGAACCCATTTATTTTAAATCTTGGAAATGAATACACAAAATAAGAAACATATATCCTAAGCAACTAAATTAAGTAGAGTACTAAAAAACAGTTTTTGGTAAAAAACGTCGAAAGAAGGTAAAAAAATCATTTTAGTCATCTTACTTCATGATACGGGTAAGATGGCGAAAGCATTGGGGTAAAATGCTGAATGCAAAAATCGCAGCAAAAGTGACCGGTATCGTATGAAGAACAATCTGCGTGCCACCACCCTCGACAGGACGAACACTGTATCCAATTTTCAGTTAGCAGATCTTCATATATTTCATTACATATTATTACATACGAATTTTTCAGAGTCATTTTCATCAATCGCATTCTGGATATTAAGACCACTACTAGGGCCAGTTTGCTCAGGCACCGAAGATATTGAATAAATTGTATTATTTGCAAATTCTTTCTTTTTCTTCGGTATTTTTTTTTATTTTTCTGTTCACTTTTTTCCCATTATTAACTTTTTATTCCATATCCTTCTCAGCTTTTTCACTTTCTTTTATTTCTAAAGAGTTCTTAACAGGCGTGCTGCTAATAATAGACACAGACATTTTTATTCGGGTTGAGGCATCGGTTTTATTTTTTTGAAATTTTTGTGATTGTATGATATGAAAAATTTCCGCTTAGTGGATCCTAGTTCATCTACAACCGGATTAGTAGCTGTCAATACCTCTGGTCTGTTCTGTTCTGGATTCCTATTTGCCTTTATTATCTTCGCAATAATAGATAATGCAATGTCATCATCAGAATCAGACTGCAAATCGACTTCTGTAGGACGATTATTTGCTGAAGCTGGTTCAGCCACCTCATGTGAATCTTCGCGCTCAGTTTTTGCCGCTGGAGCAAAATCGCCGTCTTCAAAAGACTATATCCGCATGCTTTAAAACCTTTTACTGCATCGCTGTTCCGGGATGATGAACAAGAAACGCATTGCAAGCTTGATTATAACATACTTTCAGGGGTCCGAAAAAAGCAAGGTCGAGCGGTTGTGGACGATGGGTTGTGTAGGGGGGGGGGGGGGGGGGGACCTGACCAATATTATGCCCTTTTCCCTACAGTAGTTAATACCGTGGAAGGAAATATATGAGGCATGGTTTTCGACCAATAACAGCACGGGATCATTAATGGAAGGCTTCGTGAAATATTTCAGGTATGCTAGAAAACTTTCAGATGTCATCCAACCGGAAGCTTGTGCTGTTCTTTCCGATCCAGCTGGGCATACATATAAAAGTTCAGGTTTCATCCTCTTGCGAGCAAATACAAAAAACGGCGGTACATAAGAACCTACTGCACTCATTGCACATACTAGAGTTGTACGGCCTCTTTCATGCAGTTACTATCTTCCACACGGCGTTGCCCTTTCGGCGTGTCAATTTTTGGCAGTTTCGTGGGCACAGTAGATAATCCAGACTCGTCCTCATTATAGACGCGATCTGTTTTAAAATTATATTTCTGTTCAACTTCTCTATTAGGTTTGTAAAGAATTTATCTACAGCAATTTTATTGAATCCCCTCAAGCGTGCCATAGAAGCTGCCTCAGAATTCCTGAGACTAAGATTGTTAGCTGTTTTAAACCCATCATACCAATCAATCCCAGCTGACTTTGTTTCGCGGTTAAATCTGTTCTCGATCCCATTTTCTTCAGCAAACTGGAAAGCTAATTTCCGTACTTGAATCGAAGTCAATCCAACACCGCGGCAATTACAGTTCAAGAGATCTTCAACAAAATGTCTGGTTTGCTGAGCGTTAAAAGTACTATTGCATGTGCAGGAAGTTCAATTGCCCTTGCTATTTCGATAACGCCTCAGAGTCGTTTCGGGAATGTTGTATGCAATTGAAGCCGCGTTACAACATAGAGAACCTGCCTTAATAGCTTGCAGCGGAGCTTTAAGGGAATCCTCACCCCATTGTCTACGATTTGTCTGACGTTGGTAATTCCTCGGCATTCTGCAATCAAAATAAAAAAAGTTATTACGTTTCGTCATCTTACCCCCAGATGTTTGGATAACCTAACTTTATATTATTTGTCTTTCAAAACAAAAAATTAATAAAACCCATTTATAATTGTTTACTACTAGCCACAACCTTTAACTCATAAAAATTAAAAAAGATTTGCTTACCTGTAAGTAACCAAAACGCTTGAATAAAGATCGTAAAAATTATAACGACTGACAGGAAAATAAGTTCGTCCGCTTCAGCGTCAAACGACAAAACGCATACATGTAATGGTCGCTGGATATTGATGCTACATTGGCAACCTCAGATGGCGCCACAAATATAAATTTAAATCAAGTGTACTGCTGCGAATTTTCGGCATTCGTCTTCTTTCCCCGTTCGTCATTTTACCCCAATTTCCCCTACTTTATTTACAGCTTTTTGCTGAGAACGTTGAGTTTTGCTCAAAAACGGAGATATTACTGAATTCTACATGTTAATGAATTATTGCAAAGAATAGTAGTTTTTGCACATCTACAATCACTATATTCGAAAGCTCATAATTAATCTTGGAACTATTCTGAAACCAATTGTAAAGGACAAATTGGACAAGTTCCTAATATGTTTTCTCTAATGTAACTTTTACACTAAGGCTGAATTGTAACGAATCTTGTCCAAAATTTCATCAAACGTCCAGTGTTTATATTAGTTTTTGATGTATAGCAATATCTGTTATGGTTTTATCTGGTAGAACACAAATCCATACTTATTCATTTGAATGCGCATATAAGTACATATCATAATCATACTTCGTGTATTTATGTGGACAACTCGACAGTTCATTTTCGAGCTGTCATAAAGAAAGTAATAGAACCAGTAGTACATACGAATTGAATCACAGACGCAGGGTGTTTAATTTTAAGGACGTTGTTGGCGACTGTATCAAGTATTCATATTTTTTCTCGTATTAATAGGAGAGGTATATCAGGAAATGACATTATTTGTTACCACAACTACAGTTTAAGGTGTTTCCCTCGATACCGTAGAAATACATGTTAAACAAACGTTTTCTTTTGCATGTGTACCGCCAGGAAAGCAATTCAAAGTATAATGTCACCTGTACGACGAAAAAGGCGGCCGGGCAGCTGAAACGTCAGTAAAATTATTTGATCAATGCACGAATCCAATCCTTTGCTAGGGAACTCAAAGTGAAACGCAATGGAATTTGACATTATATTAATAAATACATTGGACAGGAAAAATTGGGAGTGTAAAAATTGAGTTCCGAGGGTAAGGTGAAAAGTTCGCAATTTGCAGCTCGACAATGACAGACTGTCATCCTGGATTATGAAATAATTTTATTTTTCTGCATAAACCCTTTCGATTCCAATATATTTGGTCCAATGTTTCTCAATCATTACTATCCCTTCTTGTAAGTGGGACTCTGAAAGGTTGTAAAAATATTCATCTACGATCTCCGGAACTGTCTTTGAACCCGTAGCGCTCCCAAGTAAGAAATGTCTTAAGATGTTTTACCCTTTTCAACATATCCAGTTAACAGAATCCCATTCGCATCCCAAAATCGCTGCAGAAGATTCGGTTATGATCGGCATTTAGCATCAACATATTTTGCACCATTTCTACCGATATCCTCATGACTTCAACTATCTCACTCACCTACACATGACTACACGATATCGCGGACTTTTTGGATGGTTTCAGGTGTTGTTGCGATTTTTGGCCGTCTTTCACGTGTATCTCCAAGGGATATGCGACTACGTTTAAAATCAGCTGCTCATTTTTCAAAAGTTGAAATTGAAGGAGCAGAAATCGCGCTTAACTTCGTAAGAATTTCCTTTTGGGTTAATCCATCCAACACGAAGAATTTAGTAACGAAATTACTTCGTATCAATCTGAATGAAAACTACGCAACACGTACACTACAAAAAATCTACTTTAGAGAACAAGCTGGAATCTGTCATATGAACAAATGACGTGTGCATCCATGCAGGAATTGGAGCGCCTTTTCTGGGGCAGTCTGAATACTTTTCACTTTATCCTCGTCTACACAGCAGGAATTTATATAGTTTTTTTCCAATGGACAGAATAAACTATTTATCAAATTAATGTCACATCTAGAATGCCTCTCCTTTTGCGGCAGAAAAATCGTAATATTCTCGCAGTATGTAAGTCCTATAGAGATTCTAATGGAGAAGCAGGTTTATATGGTTGCTCGGTTTTGAAGACTGAAAAATGATTGCCATTTGACATTTAAATAGGATAAAAATGAAAATCAAAGAATATTTTCCCACTTTTATACACTTAATCTAGTTGCATTTTCTTCGACTTGACTTTTTTAAAATTTAAAAAGTGGCAATCAAATTTGTTGTTTGACATGGGTGGTTGGTGTGATCTCGGTGTTATGTGTAATTAAAAAGAAATATAAGACTTATTCACTCGGAGATTATAGTTTCAGTGATAGCGTTGGTTTTGTTGAACCTAGATGAGTTATTTGATAGTACGAGAATTGTTCAGTGCGTGAGGTTTTCAAACACTGAAGAGCCAAGATAAAGGTAGAATGTTGCAGAATTAGTCAATTCCTATTCAATTGCATCATACATGAGCGGTGTTTCCTCTCATTTCCTCATGAAAGGAACTCTTTTTATTGAGGATTATTGACTTGTCAACTCGACACGCACACATTCGTAGTGACAAATTTTAACTCTAACTGCGAAATGTTGCGAAAGGAAAGACTGACGTAATTACTTTCCTCCAATGACAAAGTTTGAGAGGAGGGATTGACAGTTATATTTTACTATTCTCTTGTGACTTAAAACAACGGTATGATTTAGTGACAAGAAAAAACGCTCATGTATGGGCTGCAAATGGCACAATTAACTAAAAATACGCTGTATGTTGCTCTCGTTAGAAAAACAATCAAGTTCAATGAAAAACGGGAGTTGTTTTAAGGGTATGGAGGCTTGGAAATGCCTTTTAAAAACGGAATAAAGTACGTTGGAGATTACCTGATTTGGTTTAGTATGAAAAGGGAATTGTCAATTTGAAATGCAAATTTTTCCTAACCTCAATACCTTGCAAGCCTTGCTTTAAATGGCCACTCTTGCCATTGATTCACGTATTCTGCGTGACTACCTAGTAGAGTTCGTTAATCAGTGATTTAACTGAACATTGCTCGTAACGTCAACGGTAAATTTTGTTGAAGAACGAAGTAGGCGCTTTGAAAATGATTAATTAGTTTTAAGAGAAAAAGAAGAATACCTTTCGGTGGTGCATTTCATTCTACTAAACGTCTCACCCAAGCTGAATTTTTGTCACTTGTATGATTTTATCTTATTACATTAATCTGCCAATTCAAAGTATTAAAGTTTCTGCAGATATTTGCGCTCTACTGCTATCTGGCTTGTAATAAATTGATAAAAACATTAATCACAAAGGTAATATAAGAATTCAGCTTGTTGACAGTTTTTCAGAGTGAAATCGTAGAATTTTCGAAACTACTTGAAAATCAATGGCACAAAACTATTTTTTACATTTTTATATAGGAAAGTGTAATTTTCTACTGAGACTTTCGTATACCTTACGTTTATACATTCCTGTTTTAAGTGCCTACAACTTCTGTGCGTATTAGAAATGGAAAAATTGCATTGACAATATGCAAATCTTATGTTCTTTAATTTAACCATAGATGTGACAATCGGATTTACCAGCCGATGTTGTACTTTCGGATTTCATCAAACGGGGTACTGTAAAATTAATTAGTCCATTAATAGCCAAACAGGCTTACAGGTAGACTTTTGTGCGCAGTTTTACTTAATGTCACATGTATAGATATTCTTTGAGGATTGAGTGCCCTTTGAAGAATGACGTCTGCTTGGATTATAGACAAACAATAATACTTCCTTGAGAAACGCTCACGGGAGTATATGACATTTTCATTTTACAGTTGCCATCACAGGTTTTTAAAATTTGGAACAGCTTCAAGATTGTCGAAATTTGCTCCATTTATATTTCCAGAATTTTCGAATCTACTAAAATTTTGGAATGTTCATTATTTTGATCATTTAGAATATTTTGAAGATTTTGAAAACTGAAGATGATAATTTTTAAAATCTTGAAAATACCGAAAAACCGGCACATTTCAACCATTTGTAAATTTAAGAAGTTTTAAAATTTTTGAAAGTGGCTTACCCTGCACAAGGCGTACCAGTAGATTTGTCTAAAAACCTTTTTTAATATACAAAGTGTCCAATAAGTACCTCGACAAATTTAAGGAGAAATAACAAAAACTTACCTATATAAAAGTGTCACCGTTTTTGAGATATAGAATTTTTTCTTAAATTTAAAAAAACACGAACCTTTTCATCTGTGGTCTTTAGCTGCATGTACAAATAAGGTTATACTTTGTTCATTTTTTCTATAAAATACTTCTAGATAGTTGCTTTATCATATACAAATGCAATGTAGTTAAAATATATTAACGAACCATGATAAAATAAGGACTGTTTTGGGATTTATAACCTTCTGATATTGTTTCCTCAACTTTCATAAAATCATATCAGGAGCAGGTAATAATAATGTAGCTTTGTACTATTTAGCATGTCACTGATCGGTAACCAGTGCAACTTGAATTTAAATCCAATAATTACGTTGTAGTGTGTGTCAGTCACTTACAAAAACAGCTATCACTTTTTTCTATTCCAAATAGTGCGTGTGTGCCTCTCTGAAATCTGGATTCAATGAGCAATTTTTTTATTCAATATAATGCAGTTATAGCCCAGTACATTTTTGTATCACCACAGATGGTCAAAGTTGAGGAAAAAGTATAAGAAGGTTATAAATCCCAAAATAGTCCTTATTTGATCATGGTTCCTTAATATCTTGTAACTACATTGCATTTGCATATAATAATGCTACAAATTTTTTATAGACAAAATGAACAACGTATAACCTTATTTGTACATGCAGCTAAAGACCACAGATGAAAAGGTTCGTTTTTTTAAAATTTAAGAAAAAATTCAACATCTCAAAAACGGTGACACTTTTATATAGGTAAGTTTTTGTTATTTGGGAGGTCAGCCTACCTTCTCCTTAAGCTTGTCTTGGTACTATTGGACACCCTGTATATATTTCAAGCCTTTCTGAACAAAAGCTGTGAGACCAAAGCAATCCTATGATTAGTTTATGAGAAATAGGGGTTAAAATTTGCCCAATTTCCAAAATTGGTGAATATGTGCTGATTGTAGTTCTCAGACCAAAAACTCGGAAAATTGTTATACTGAAAGGAATCTTCCATTAAAACACCTTATAGGAAGGTATTGGGAGGTGGCATGTTGATCATAACCATGGTCCTTACAAAGTCAATTTAGGGGCAAGTTGGTTTTTATATGTTGGAATGGACCTGGCACGAGTGGTTTCTAAAACAAAATAGCTCAAAAAGGCAGTTCATAAGATTGCGAAAAAGTCGTTGTTTTTTACTTTACTTGATTATTACCTATACAATGGCAACCAAGGACAATTCAAGGTCACGTTGATTTTTAAGGTGGAAGGGAAAGAAAAAGCCCTATAACGAACTCCAATCTCAATGGAGACCATATCAAAATAAACCCATGTACACAGAGTTCAAGCGCCAGATGCATAATGCTCATTAATTATTACATGATCATCAGGTAAATCGTTAGTATTTTCATAAGCTTATCAATAATATATCCATAGTCGATACTTTATTGGGCTTCTAAAACGTGAGTTAATTATATGTGTGGATACCACCACCAACAACAACGTATCCTTGAGGTGTCGATGTACATGCTATCAATCGCGTTTTGAATTCATGAACAATGCAAACGCACTTAGAGTCGAAGATCGTTTAATAGTATAAATCGGCGGCTAAGACAAGTGAATTCTGTCGCCTGGAATATATATCTCACATACGACTCTCCTGATGAAGATGGCAAAGTCCATTGAAAGCTAGAGATTAATAAAGTATAAAGAGTCCCCTTTGCTTGAATTTTGTCGAAGTACCCAACAAAAGGCGGAAACTTTAATTTTTCACCTATATATATAGCAAACTGTAATATAGGTTTCGTCCGTCCAACCATAGACGGCCCATGTGCTTTTTGGCAACGCATCAGCATGGTCTATAGACTTGGTCTCAGATGGGACAACGAGCGAAAGTTTGGCAAATCTCTATCCAGGATATAAGGTCTATCGGAATAATACAGCACAACTGACCCTTAAATTGATCATGTATCATGGTCCTAACACCGTCCTACAAGGTGTTTTAATTCACCATTTTTACAAATTGGGTAAACAATCCTATTTCTCAGAAACTAATCATAGGAATGCTTTGGTCCGACATTCAGCAATTTTACATATTGTTCAAACAATCTTATTTCTCAGTAACTAATCATATAAATGCTTTGGTCCGATGAGAACTTTTGCTTAAAAAGGCGAGTAATATAATATATCATACTGCATTTATAGACAAATCGATCTGTCAGTTTTTCAAAATTTTCTAAATTTGCTCGATTTTTGACATACAAAATTTCCGGATTGTCAAAATTTGTTTAAAATCCAACGAGAGATTAAACGGCACTCAATACTTAAGGAACGTCGATTAATATGATCCTTAAAATCACCCATTTCCTGGTGATTCAAATGACGGCAACAGTACCCCTCGAAAAGTTGAAAACCGAACGTATATATGAATATAAATTGTGATTATTTTATGGATTCTTTTTTATGAATAACCAATAAATATATTTAAAGTAATTATAACAAATCGTTTAATATACCTAAGTTTCTTCTTCCAGGCCTAAAACAGCGGAGTCGTCGCTGAGAGACTGACATTTGAACTTTTTTTGGAGAAGACTGGATTGTGAGAATTTCAAATTAGTTGAAGATAAGTTCTGTGGTCTTACGTTCTAAGTTTCAATAAAGAAACGGTCATCCACACAAATTTTGCATTGTATAGGTATGTCTTTAAACAGTTTACTTTTATCGTTCGGGTATGCCTGTGATTTTTATTCGAAGTGCATTTGCGAAAAATGTTTACCCAAAAGTATACTCAGTATGGATTCTAATATGTATCGCATATTGTCGTAAATGTTTACAGGGTATGAATTCTGGTACTTCATGTATGTGTCAAATTTTATATAAAGCAAATAATTGCAGTTCTAATGCACAATTTATCATTGAGTTATAAAGACTGCTGATCTATTTCTAAAGTTCGTCAATTCCGCTATTTTCGTCGACGATTCCAACAAACGGAGGCGCGAGTAGCCTAGACAGGTCAGTGTTTGGCGTTGGTCAAAAGCTATTTTCTATAAAATATTTTGAAGCTTTCTGAAAAGCAGTTTCTCAAAACTTGACAAAGAATATATATGTATTGTTCTTGAATGGTTCTTGGAATAACACCCCGAATGTTTGCGCTTTGTTTAGGAAATAACGATGTGCAAAGGATCCTGAAATTTCATGACTTCATGCATAAAAGAAGTGTTAGTTCTAGCATTGCTTAATATATTCTACAAAAAGAAAGCCCAGAATATGCTGTATTTTGACCTCCAGAAAGGGATCTTAATGATACCAGCGCTATTTATGAGACAGCAGAACACATCATGAATCTAGATGTCTACTTTGGAAATAGTGTTTGGTTCTGCTACTAGCTCATAGATGGCGCTAGGATATTCAGTCCCTTTTTGGCCACTACTACAGAGTTTTACCACTCGTCAAGCCTGCTTATACACCTTGCAATGCCTATTTTAATTGGGTATCTTCAGGTTAAATACACCAATCAATGTCTGAAGGTATCCAATTAAAATTGGCATTCGAGAGGCCAAGACGGGATTGAACCCGAGCGCCATCTATGTGAACCAAATACTCTAACAGTTTTCAAAGTAGGTTTCTTAATGCATGTTTATGTTCTGCTATTATCTCATAGATGGCGCTAGTATATCCAGATCATTTTTGGACGCTGGGATACAGCATATGGTTGGCTGCATTCAGTTTGAATATTGCTCTAGTTACCTTGAATCTCATTTTGGGTAAAAAACATTTTTCTCGAAGACTGCATAACCATATACTGGTTGTTTGGAGTACTTAGTAAATATTGTTGAATCAAGTGTGTAAATCGAGGAAAAAGACATTGACATAATAGATACATTGCATCTACACAGTATTGATGGTGTACAGGTCACCTAAACAAAACAGAGGTATATCGTCTCAGGAAGATTTAGCAGTATACTTGTTGGTTACGTCGTGTATTTATGGTTGAATCATAAAAAATATTATCTCCAGTATCATATCAGTTATCAGAAGAGTGCTTAGACATTTTTGAAATATGTGACAAATGCCTTTTAACCCTCTTTATCAGATAGAGAGACATACTCGTATTAGATATTGAAAACTATTTGGAAGCAAATTTGAACTTGCTCAAATCTCCCGATACTGATATGAAACACATGAAAAACAAAAATGGTTCAACAAAAAAATTATTGTTGGGTTTGAGGGGCTATTCGTATACAGACAAAAGCCTGGTGTTGCGTTAGTTGAGAGAAAAAATGATGAAAGCATGAGCTTGGATAGATTGAAGAAGCCGCATTTTTTTTGCTTGTGGTTTCCAATTTCTACCACTTGATTTTCGATAAACGATACAAAATCAAATTGTATTAGTCAATTTGAATTGAAATTCATCGGGTTTCAAACGGACATAAAAGCGTTCTAGTCAATTTAAGCTTACTAGTTTAGTACGTAATTCCAAAACACTATTTTTATTTTATCATGCTGCTTTCATCATTTTCATATCAAAATAGAAGATGCCAGTAACTGTTACTCTAGAACACGTTCTCATTTATATCAATAAAAAACAGCATCGTATTTTTAAGATAACGACAATCATAAATTGATTTTACTGATTTAGCTTGTTGCGCTGTTATTTCGAATATATGAATTCAAAACAATGGAGTTTGTTGTTTTACACGACCAGCTTTGGTCAATTTTCTATTCCTACTTTGTCGATTTTGACTTTGTAAAAGACGTGTATTAAAAAAACGTGTTTTAGATTAACTGTGGAAGTTAGCAATCTTGGAGGGTAGTTCCTAGAAAATGTATTGAAAATGATGTTAGTGTTGTTCTAGTTTCTATAAAACAAAGTAATCTCGTCTTGTTATAGCGTAATCGACTCCATAAAATTTTATTACCTCTACTACAATTTAAAGTATTTTAAAATGAGAAATGTTGTGTATATACTCCATTATGTATTTTCCATCCACGTTAGCTCAGAATCAAATCCATATGTCTATAGACAACGAATTCACATCATACATACCGAATTTGCCGAATTTGATATTGATGTAATTGAACACTGGTGCTAATTCTTTTACTTCCATCACAAGAGAATATAAAAACGTATGGTAAAAATATAGTGTTTTCTTATATATGTATCTACCACAAAATTCCTCAGTGGGTTAACTGCGTTGGGTTGATCAACTTTATTCTGTAAGTTGGCGTGGTTGAACATGAAGTTCTGAAAAAGGCATAGAATTTGATTAATCACTACCTGAAAACAGACAACCAAAAAATTGGGCGCCGTAGCCAACTATATTAGCATATACGAGCATATAGTTGGCTACATCAACATAAGACCTAGCCTCGAATTCACAGGCTTCGGCTGCTGCCGCTCCGACTACATTGTTAGACTGATCGAAAACTCTTCTCTAACGGACAGTCTCGGGACCCTTTCGCACCGCTTTCGGACCGTCGGCTATATGGCTTTCTTCTACCGCTATGTCAACGGCCTTTGTTGCGCAGGGCTCTCCTTCATGATGCATGCTACCGCGCAATGTGCTTGCCAGACAGACCCGCCTGGCTTCGGCCTTCCATCCTAACCGTGTCGAACTTCGTACGTCCAGATACGACCACCCCGCTGTCCCTAGGGTATCGATCTTGTGTAACAATATACATAAGGAGGATTTTCCTAGTTCCACGAACCTTAGACCTCTTCACAGTAGATTTCTAGTTTTGGCGGACGGTATCTTTCATCTCGGGTAATTTTTTATACGCCGAAACAATACATGGTTGGCTACCTTCAGATAGAATACGTTAATCAATATATAGTCTTGATTAAGCTATAGCTTACGGTATACGTTGGCATCAGCGCGAAGGTATTAAAAAAAAGACTTCGGAAAAGTATAGCCACCTGAGTTGTTTGTTCTTGGCATTTGTTGTTAATGTTGCTGTCATCGACAAAAAAAAATGTGATTTAAATCTTTATGTTAGTATAAAGAACATCTACTGGTGAACTACAGAAGAAACAAAAATAAAAAATAAAGCATTGGTAATACAGAGGTAAGTATTCTTGTATTACGGAATACGAACGGAGCATGTGCGGTAAGTTGGAACTATAGGCGTATCCTTTAATCCACCGGTTGAGCCACCGGTGCAAACAATTAACCAATTTTACTTCTTTTAATTTCCGTCTGAGCGACCGGTTGTACACCAAACTTGTCTACATAGTTTTGATGCAAATAGATATTGTAACATAACCTCAAATTTTGAGGCTCAAAATAGAGCAAATGACACAGAACATAGAAAACTTTGAAAATGAATGACGCCATAAAGGCGTCCTACAATTGCAGGGACGACTGACGATACGGCCCTAACGCTCGGCTCGCATCCTCAAAAAAATCACTGATAATCGGATAACAGTATTTAGTCATCGCGTTTTTGTCTTCTTTGTAATGGTTAAGTTTTGAGCAGTCGTAGCGAAAACCTGCGATCTCGAAAACGTTTGGCGTTTTTTGGAGCAATGAGTGAAGGTGACGTGTCCGAATTCCAAAAGAACAGATAACTTCATTCTCGCTTTGGAGAGTCAATACGCCTTTGGGAGCGGTATTGCCTACCACAGGCGGGCCTAGACCTTGCTGGGTTTGCGCGGTACCATTTTGGAATAAATGACTCGGTTTGTACAAAAACCACTCTAGTCCATTTAACATGCTTTTTTCTACTGAAAACGCTTTATTAACCCTATAATACTAACCATTCGTAAAATATACGAAAGCATTTTTCTTTTTTGAGAATTGGCAACCATGTATCCAACGTAAGATTTTGACCGCACGTGTAGCTTCCTCAGTTGATGTTGTACCAGCGCAGACTAGTGTCATAGTAATTCACCTAACGCACGTGTGTGTAATCGAAGCCTCGTCGTATTTTTTACGAAAGGTTAGTATTTACGTTATAATTTTTTTAGGGCATATACGAAGATTTTTTGAATTATTTTAGAATTCAGTTGACTACAGCATGGCCAAGAAGTGGGAAGACATAAGGCCTTTATCTCAGAAGGAACTAGAAGACCTAATACCAAAATCTGATGATGAACTCGAAGATTTTTGGAGGCTTTCTAGCGGATCAGAAACTGAGGATAACTTGGAAGAAGATTTCAGTCTTTCTGAATCAGAATATGAGCCCGAAACATCTGATAGAGAAAGCACTGACTCTGATGAATGTAACTATAGAAAGCGGAGAAGAATTAATAGAGGGTCGAAGCCAACACAGGAACATTTTCCAGTAGAGTGTGATCAAGGAGATGGCCAAGTAGACCAGCTTGCTGCACAAAATTTGGAAGATGAACAAAGTGTATCAAATGACCAGGAGATTGAAACACAGAGACCCAATATAGAAAACTTCTCTCAAACAGAAAGAGGGGGAAGTAATCAGGATATTAGCGATAATGAAGATCTACATAACTTGGGAGATAAACCACATGAAACTATTCTCAACAAGGGG